TAGGAAGGGGTTAGGGTATGAAGGGCTCTGAATGCCAAACAACATTTTGTATATGATTCTGGAGGCAATATGGAGTCATTGGAGTTTGCTGAGTAGGGGAGTAACATCGTTGAACTTGTGTCTTTTACCTGTCCTTTCATTGTACTCCCTGGCATACCACTCTATAGATAACAAACTTACTTTCATCTTAAATCTTTTCCTTTCCCACTCCTTTCACCTTCTGGCTTTCATTGAGACCTGGCTCCCTCTTGATTACTCAGTCTCTCTAGCAACCTTCAGCACTGCTTTCACATTCCATTTACCCCAACTTTCTGGACCTATGTGGGAAATTGGAATACTCATTACCACTTCCTTTTTTTAAATAATTAATTTATTTTTAGTTTTCAACATTCATTTCCATAAGATTTTGAGTTTTAAATTTTCTCCCCCTCCTCAAGACGGCAAGCTGTTTGATATAGGCTCTACTTATACATTCATATTAAACATATTTTCACATTAGTCATGTTGTAAAGAAGAATTAGAACTAATGAGAGGAACCACAAGAAAGAAGAAACAAAACAAAACAACAAAAGAAAAGGAGAGCAAATAATATGCTTCCATCTGCATTCAGACTCCATTCAGACATCTGCGTTCTTTGGATGTGGAAAGCATTTTCCATAGTGAGTCTTTTTGGAGTTGTCTTTGATCCTTGAATTACTGAGAAGAGCTAAGCCTATCAAAGTTAGTCATTGCACAATGTGGCTGTTACTGTGTACAATGTTCTCCTGGTTCTGCTCCTTTCACTCAGCATCAGTTCATATAAGTCTTTCCAGATTTTTCTGAAGTCCACCTGTTCCTCATTTCTTATTGCACAATAGTATTTCATTACATTCATATACCACAACTTGTTCAGCCATTCTCCAATTGATGGACATCCCCTCAATTTCCAATTCTTTGCCACCTCAATGCCACTTCCAAGCTCTTATATCACCTTTATCACTCAGTGACCTCTTCTCTTTATGAGGTTCACTCAATTCATATCTACTACCCTATTAAAATTCTGGTAGCTGTTGTTTATGGACCTCCAGGACATTCCTCTTCTTTCCTCTAGAAGTTCTATGTCTGGCTCAGAGTCTTTCTCTCCTCCCCAACTCCCATCCTCACAGGAGGGGACTTCAATATACATATTGGTACTCTCTCAAAAACCCTAACTTCCCAGTTCCTCAACTTACTCATTTCCCATAACCTACTTCTCCATCCTGCCTCAGCTACACACAGAGATGGTCATAGTTTTGATCTTGGCATCATTCATAAATGCTCCACTTCTATGTTTATGAACTCTGAAATTCCCTTACCTAATCACAATTTGTTGTAATTCTACCTTTCTCTCTGCCTTGAAACCCCAGACCTTATTCTTCATTCTCATCCTGACTTCTGATTCCTCGAGCCCTTAAGTCTTTCCAAGGCCATCACTATTGCACCTGCTACATTCTTTCCTTCCCCATCTTGACCCCTTAGTGAACTAGTTGAATCTGCACTGTCCTATTGTCTTAAATACTTTCCCCCTTATCTCATCACTAATCTTGTCCTGCCAAGCTTGAGCCCAGTATTACTCCTATCAGGTGCTGCCTTTGCTCCTACTCTGTCAAATGAAGCTGGAGAAAGTGTTAACTGGATCTACTACAGATTTACATCATATAATCTCAACTGGGCCCTCACAGTAGCAAGGTAATTCTTTTACACCTCCCTAATCAAATCTATTCTACTTATCACAGCAATTTTCTAAATCTTTTCATCCATTCTTGAACTCCTCCAAATGGTTATGCCTTGAAGTCATGCCTCAACACTTCTGGGGTCATATCATAGCCAAGTAGGGAGGCAGGGGTCTGCATTTTGGGTACCACTGGTCTATGTAATACTACTTAAAAGGGAAAGCAAGTTTCTATTAGGGCATCAGCACCTAGATCAGGAATGCCATTCTATCAAAAATCCAGCTGGTCACCCCCATCTCTGGAGGAGACATGCCCTTGGGACATACTTTGGGTAAACTATCCAGGGGATTTCTCAAGGGAAAGGATAATTGCTAACACTAAAACTATGACTTCACTAGGAAAGAACATTGGATTTGGTGTCAGAGGACCTGAGTTTCAATTCTACCTATGCTACTTAGAAATTAATCAACATAGGGCAAATGACATCTCTCTGGGCCTCATTTTTCTTATTTGTAAAAGAAGCAATTTGGACTAAATGACCTAGTCCAAAGATCCTTTACAACTCTGAATCCTATGATTTTATGGCAGTATTGAGAGAAACATATGCTTAGGAGCAGATATAGTCCCCTAAGAAACATCTGTCACATCTACTTTTTTACACATGGAAAGCAGTTAATGATTATAAACTGAAATTTCTCATGTTCTCAAAGTCCAGTATCAAGGTTTTATAACTGAAGGTTGTTCACCAGTAACATTGATAAGATATAACTCTCTGATAATCCTAGATATTTCTTTGTTAGATATTTTTGTCAATGTTAAAATTTGTTCATTCTCAGACAGTAGACCTTCAAACAATATTTAGTGGGGAATCACGTTTTAAAAATTCAACCAGAGATTCTTCATTGAAAATTCTTATGTGGCTGTCAAAGTACTGGGAAATTCCCAGAAACCATTCACAATGACTGAGATGTACTTAGAGGTTAAAATAGCCTGTTCCCTCTCTTGAGTTTCATTTTCAATTCTGCTGTGAAGGGGAAGAACTTCAGAGGACATGTAATTCAGCCTGTATGTGACCAAGAATCTCATCTAAAACATAACCAGCAAGCATTCATCCAGTCTCTAGGAAGAGACTGTTACTATCCAAGGCACCCAATTCCACTTCTGGATAGTTCTGTTAGGAAGTTTTATATTCTGTCAAGCCTAAATCTCTTCCTCTCTGCTTTCCTAAATGCCTGCGTTTTTATCTTTATGCTCCTCATTCTGCCCTATGAGACTAAGCAGAACAAGTCTGATCTCCTTCCTATATGACAGCCCTTCAAGTACTTGAAAAGACCTATACATCATTTTCAGGTCTTCTCTTCTCCAGGCTAAACATTCCCAGTTCCTTCAGTTGGTCTTTGTATGGCATAATGTTTAATCTCCCACCATCCCAGTTGTCTGTCATCTTACCATCTTGGTCATCTTCTTCAGGACATATGCCAGCTTATTGATATACTTTCCAAAATGCAACAGTCAAGACTGAAGGAAATATTCCAGATGTAGTTTGACCAGGACAGCAGGACTATCACTTCTCTTGTTCTTGACACCATGCTTCTTCTAATGCAGTCTAGCTTTTTGACTGCTATGTTACCCATGTTGAGCTTATGGTCCAATAAAACTCCAAGATCTTTTTCACAGGTACTATTGTTTAGCTATATATTACTTCCTCCTGATGGTTTTTAGTGGTCGGTGAAAGCCATTCTTCACCTTCCATTCTACATGACCAATGGCAGAAGGGGAATGATAAACCAGAGTAATGTTGGTTTTAGAATAAGTAGAAGATACATATGGAGAATAAACAGGGCATCCATCTCACCATTTTCTAAAAACACTTTCTTTGTTTCCTAACTTTAGAAGGATATCTGAAAAAAAATTGAGACAATGAGAATTGGGGAAAGAATGACATTCATAGGTGTTAGACAGTTATATGCAGCATATTGAAAAGGTAAGAGGAAAAGAAAAATGAGAGGGCAAGGGAATAGAAAAAGGAATCTGTCCTATCCTCAATCAAATTTAATATTTTTATTGAATCAAATTTAATTTTACATTAATCTTAGAGGTATGCCAAAGTGTGTAGAGAGGTATCATTACAGGCTGAAACAATTCTCAAAGTTTTGATTCAACTGAAGGGCCCTGAAGAGATCAGAGCAATTCAGGGGCTACTCTAGAAGTCTGTTTTGACTCCAGGGTGGGTAGAAAATGGCTCAGAAAGTTGTAGACTAAACTGAAATCTCTCTAACATGGAAACTTAATCACTAAAAACTGATTCATTCTTCCATAGATATATCATACTATATTGACTATAAAAAGTCATGTGGCACTCTGGAGGCTGCTATGGACCATAGTGGATTTATTACCTTGGTCCTGTTGACAGATCCACATTCTTAGAGCTAGCCTCTAAGTATCTAAAGGGTATCTGCCTTGCTTACTTCTACTTAAGGATGGATTTCTGAAGAATGGGAAGGATGCTGGAGGAATATGAATTTTGGAAGGTTTTTAACTTTCTAAGATTATCTTCCTGGGAGGAGGGGAGTTGAAAGGATAAGAAGGAAGATGTAATAATAACTACAACTATAGTTTACATTTAGAAGATACCTTTGCTATCTAGCTTATCCTTAGCTAGTATTGCCTAAATTGTCTACTGTAGAAGCTTTCACCAGATTGGAAAGTTGAGGGAGAGGGAGGGTGCCCTGTAGCCAGATTCAGACTTCAAGTTCTGTGTACAAAAAGCCAGTTCAAATAAAGTACTTCCATTTGGGATGAAAGGGCAAAGTTGAGCAATTTTAACAACCAGTTTCAAATCTCCTCCCACACCTATGTTCATAATCTTATCTTGATTGGGACCAGAAGTGAAAAAAAAAAAAGACATTTAAAAAAATACCACAATTTAAAAGAAAACTATTCTGGGTTTTTTATACCTAAAGGTCTGAAAAAATGGTGACTTAAAAATGGAAAACTAAATAATGTTTAAACCAAAAGTATATTTTTGGAGGGGGGAAGAGAAGAGGGTTTTTCTAATCACAGGAAACAATAACATATCTCTTATCACAGTACTTCTGTACTATTTATTTCTGTCGAGCCATTTAGGAGAGTCAGGAAATACTAAATGATTTAGTGTCATGGAATTCCCCTAGTGTGCCTGCTGAGTAAGGGGAAGTCTTAAGTGGTTTTTGCCCTAGGAGTTCCCCTAGAATGAGGAAAGCACCTCATTCAAAGGTCGAGGGGCGGGCTAAAATAGGGAGGAACTGAGACGATTTAAAAAGTTTCGCACTACTGAACAGCGAATGACCCTTTGCCGTTGCCAGTCGTTTAACAGTCATCACAGAAGACTTATCATTTCTCGGTAAAGGAGGTGTCTGGCTTGGGAGAAGCAGGTCTGTGCTGATTTGAGTCTTGTATAATACCACTCTTGCCTTTCTTAATGTATTTTAGCGGGAGCATCTGTGTGAGTAGCGTTGAAGGTTGAAGTTTATAAGAGAAAGTTCCACCTGGTGCTGGGTCACTACTCAAGTTGGGGTGGGGGGGGGAGGGCCACTGAAATCTCTGCCTGGGGACTGTAGAATGGATTTGCTAATTTTGGACAATTCAAACAGTCCCGGTTGGGAAAGGGGGCTGGGGGAGGTGGGAAGAGGAGGGAATCAGAGGATGGGCGGTTTTGTGCTATGGAGGTCATAGGATTATAGATTTACAGCTGAAAGGGACCTTAGAGGCTATGGAAATCAACCTCATCATTTTTACAGATGAGAAAACTGGCACAGAGAGATTGAAAGACTTGACCAGGGTTACACAGTTAGTGGGAAAGTGTGAAGACTTGGGGAGCAGCTACCCACAGAGCAAAGAATGCCAGACCCTGAAAACAAAGTTCCTGGCCTTGCCTAAACTTAGTTTAGCTCTTTCCTTCATCCTCTCCTTCTTAAGCACGTTGTCATACAGGGTGCAGTGGAAAGTAGTCCGAATCCTGGCTTGGTTTGTTACTCTCTGCGTTACTTTAGGTTAAGGCGGTTTTCCTTTCTAGGATTCAGTTTCTTTATCTGTAAAATGGACTGAATGACTTCTGAGGTCCTCTCCACTCCAAAATCAAGCATCCTATACACCTTGGAGCCACTTCTTAAGGTTCAGGTACCCCCTCAGGATGCCAGATCAATGACCACCAGGGGGAGGATGTGTGTGTGTGTGTGTGTGTGTGTGTGTGTGTGTGTGTGTGTGTGTGAATCCTCCTGACCTGTGAATCTGGTTTAGAAGGGGAAATGTTTATTAGGAATAGATAAAAGAGGGTGAAGAGGTAGATGATTCAAGAGCTTATTAAGCATGTGCCAAATGTGCCAAACTTTGTGCCAGGTGCTGTAGATGTGAAGGGGAGTGATGAGATTGGCAGCTAAATTATAAAGGAAAGAGGAAAAGTTTGAGAAATAGAAGGCCTCTCTGAATGGAAAAAGAGAATGAGGGAATGTATAAGAAGATAGGGGAGACAGGTTGCAGCAAGTTGTCATGGGTGCTAAAAACCAGACAGAGGATTTTATATTTGATCCTGAAAGCAATAGAAAGCCACAGGATTTTTTGAGTAGAGCAGTGACATGGTCAGAATATCAGTTTGGCAACTGTGTGGAAAACAGATTGGAATGAGGAGACCTGAGACAGGGACACTATTGGTCACACAGCCAATATTTGTGAGAAGAGGGACTTGAATCCAGGCGTTCCTGGCTTCATTGGCTGTTCTCTATCCACTAGGACAGGCTGACTGTTCTAAAAGCTGAGGTTGTTTGCATTTTATTCCATAGGCATTGAAAAGGAGTTTTGGTGTAAAGGAGTAAAATGATCAAAGCAGAAAGCTCATGTGGAACAATATGTAGATAGAATTAAAAGGAAAGAAATTTGAGAGAAGGAAACTAAGAGACTTCCAGAAGTCTAGGTGTGAACTAACGTAGTGGCAATACTATCTTATTAATACTTATTATTACTTGATATCTAATTAACATCTTATTTATTATTAAAAGATATGGTGGGGGCAGCTAGATAGTGAAGTGGATAGAGTACTGGCCTGGAGTCAGAAGGACCTGAGTTCAAATCTGGCCTCAGACACATGATACTTATTAGCTGTGTGACCCTGGGCAAGTCAATTAACCCTGATTGCCTCACTAAAGGAAAAAAAAAGATATTGTGAATGAAAATATTAACAAATTCTGGTAATTGGATATGAGGTGAATTTTGAAGATTTATTTGCCATATGTTGATACTATGAACATAGAAATAAAGAAATTCAGTTTGGGAGTAAAAATTGATGGGCTTGGTTCTAGACATCCAGAAAAAGCTGTATAGCAGATGATGGTTGAGAAAGAAGGCCAGGGATGGAAATGCCAACTTGGGAATCATTTCGCCAGCAGTGATTATCAACAAAGGAGTCCATGAGATCTGAGAGAAAAGAATACAGGCTTTTAGATTGGTCTTGCCTAATGTACACAGCATTAGTATTTTAGATTGGTTCTAAAAAACAGGCTATTCTATATATATTTGTGTAAAGCCACTGACTGACTTGTAGTAGAGCCTTTGCTCTAAACTATTGCCAATACAGATATATCCTATCTTATATCATTGATTACTTAAAAGCACTGCATTAAATGAGACAGACACGGGTATTTCCATAGGAAGAATATTATATATGGACAATTGGATAATCCATGTTAGAGTGAAGTATCATCTTACATTGGGGCACCATTATGCAGGGGGTGCCTGTGCAACACTCTTCATGTGGGAAAGTAGAGCAGAGAGCAGAGGAGGGGATAGAAGATGTATTCCAAAGGAAAATTACACAATACTGTGTTTTATCTTAGACTAAAAATTGATATGGAGAAGGAGAAAGTAGCATAGCTCTGCCCGTCCTTCTTCCTACCCATTTATAGGAAGACAACTAGATTGAGGAAAACTAAATTTGTATCCACTTAAACTAGTCCCACTATCTCTGGAGTCAGAAGCAGAATTATAAAGTACACAGTATCTCTTTGTTTTTTTTCCCATATCCCTTTGGAAACCTTCTTCCACATGAACTTTCTTTCTCCTCCCTACAATGCCCAGGGCTCTCTTGCCATTCTCCTTACTTATGAAATTCTCTTTTTCTTTCCCATTTACAATATTTCATATTGGGATTGCTCTGTGGACTAAGAGATTATGGAGTTTAGACAAGTCAGATCATGGAATTAATGATCCTTAACCTTGCAAAAATTCTATTAAAATTAACATCTAATTCAAAAAGATTTTGTGTTGGGAATAAGGCAAAAGCCCTAGAATTAATTTGCTGCAGAAAACTCTTTACTTTGTTGCTTCTTCTTTGCAAACTCCAGAAACTCGGTAAGGAGTTCTTCTGTGTATCAATGAAGGCAAATATTTGAGGGATAGAACTAGGCCTGTAGATAAAAAGCTCATCCTAAAGAACTCCCCTGTATCAGTGCAGATCAGGACCTTCTCTGAATTTTTGATTAGATCATTGAGTGGTTAAAAAACTTGCCCAGGGTTACACAGCTACTATTTGTCAGAGATTGGACTTGAATCCACTTCTTAGTTTTGAGACCTGCTCTCAAATATTTGATACTGAGACTAAATGAGGGGGCCTTCAGTAATGGTAATAAATTTGAGTTCATCCACTTGTATATTTTCCCATTCTATCTCATAACCAATGATGGGTATTTTCATGATGGACAAAAAGAGCAAAATTAATTCATTTATGTGAAATTAAATCTATGATTTGGGTCATATCATAATGGAATTAATATTAATAGTCTGTATTGAAAAGGAATTTGCTTGACAGATTTTTGAAATTAAATTATATTTACAAGTTTATGATTTATAAAAATTATATTTTACAATATTAATATATCCTATGAATACTTTGTATTCTAAAATTCTCCTTTTTTTCTTAACAGATTTTACAGGAAGAAGAATCTTGTTCTCTCTCTCTCTCTCTTTTTTTTTTTCATTTTCTTTTGTGGACCAAAAATACCAAAATGGAGACCTAAACCCTTAAAAGGGACATAGTCTAAACTCGGGGAGGTAGTTTTGTGCATGAGTAAAGAAAATAGTTAATTAAAGTTATTGGTACCTAATGATTGTCAAATTTTGAAACACGGTTCATTGATAAATGCTCTAACTATACCATAATGAAAATTGATATCTCATTGTGGCATATAGAAAATATAAGTGGTCATATCAAGGTCAATAATCCTTTGAAAGTCACCCAGTGCTAAGAGAAGTGAATATTTTCTATTAGTATAAAAATGAATTCTTTAGAGCAAAGAATTAGCCTCAGACTTTTTGTGAAGTTAACTAAATCTTCAAATAAGATGTGTCATGTTAAAAAAGATTTGTGGGGATGAAAAAATAGCAAGACCAAAAATTTTTGACTGGCATGAAAGGTTTAAAGAAAGCAAGGAAGAAGTCAGTGGTGGTACATGAAATAGTTGTCTAATCACCTGAAAGACCAATGAAGATCACAGAATCAGAGGATTTAAAATTGGAAAGGACCTTAGAGGTTGCCTACTCCAACTCCTTCTGTCCAGTAAATAAATCTCCCCTACAGTATCCCTAAGGTCATGTGACTGCTGTATGAACACATCTAGTGACTCAAACAACTCACCCTACAAGGCAGTCCATTCCATTGACGAATAGTTCTAGGTAGCAAGTATAGTTCTTTTGTGAGTTGAACTCTGCTCCCTGGTAACATCTGTAATATTCCAGATATTGTGTGATTAGCACAGATTACACTAAGACTATGAGGTGCTGAAAGGGTCTGAAATTTAGTTCAGTCACATAGTCATTGGAAGAGTGATGAATGAAAAGTTAAATTTAGATAAAGATGGATTTACTCAGGAAAAAAAATAAAACTTGAACATGGAGAATGCTTCTGAGAAATATATGCTGCATTTTGCTGACTTGGTATTTGATCTTTCAAGGAGAGCTAGACAAAATAGAAGCATTTGTTGAACATAGAGAGCTAACAAAAAAATGCTGTATAAGTCAAACACTATTAAATATGTTAACTATTAAAGGCTGGTGGTATACTGTTGCATCATAGTTACCTGAAATAATGTATGTACTTCAAAGTGTTTGACACTAACTAGGGGTCAAAAACACTTTACATACCTCCAAAGGTATCTACCTTTAACCATTAAGTTTATATAATGGCACATATATAAAGAATATAAAGACAGGGATATGTAACTTCAAAATGTGTTATACCCCTTTCCAAAGTATGTGAAGTCTCTAGCTACCATAATAAAATTTAGGATATCTCCATGAAACTCACATATTTGGCATGAAAAATTATAAAGAATTTTATTTCAAGATTTTTAGCCTGGAACTAAAACCATGAAGGATGCACAAAACTACCTCCCCAGAGAAAGACTTGTCCCATTTTTGCCCCTGGAATCTCATGAACATAGCAGAAGATAGCAACCTATGTGAACTGAAATTCGACTTTTCTTGTGAACTGTACAGAATGTCTACATTCTCTGCTTTCCCAGTCAATGTTCCAATCTCAGAAAGAAGTCTTGCTCGGGCTGGATTTTATTACACTGGTGTGAACGACAGAGTTAAATGTTTCTGTTGTGGCTTAGTGCTGGATAATTGGAAACAGGGAGACAATGCTATTGACAAACATAAACAGCTGTATCCTAGCTGTGCCTTTATTCAGAATTTGATTGCAGTTAACAATCTAGGATTTTCCTCTCAGTCTGCGTTTTCTTCTTCAGAGATGAATAATGACACATGCTCTTTATCTCCCAGTTCAAAACAGAGTGTATATTACAGTGGTTCTTACTATAGTTTTCCACCCGAGCCACTGACTTCCAGAATAGTTGAGGACTTATCCCCTTTGAACAACAGCCCCTACTGTTATTCAATGAGTACTGAAGAAGCTAGATTTCTTACTTACCAGACATGGCCACTGACATTTATGTCACCATCAGATCTGGCAAAAGCTGGTTTTTACTATATAGGACCTGGAGACATGGTAGCTTGCTTTGCCTGTGGTGGGAAACTAAGTAATTGGGAACCAAAAGATGATGCCATGTCAGAACATGAGAGACATTTTCCTAACTGTCCTTTCCTGAGAAATCAAATCCAAGAAGCATCAAGGTTCAGTGTTTCTAATGTGAGCATGCAAACCCATGCAGCCCGTATGAAAACCTTTGGGACCTGGCCACTTCAAATTCCAGTTCATCCAGAGCAGCTTGCAAGTGCTGGCTTTTATTATGTGGGTAAGAAACCTAACTCAGTAGAAGAAATATTCATAGCTAACCAGTAAATTTTCATTTAATTGGTTGTGCTCATTCAAGTTTTGGCTCACTTTTTTTTTGTTAGGTTGCGATGATGATGTCAAATGCTTTTGCTGTGATGGTGGACTGAGGTGTTGGGAATCAGGAGATGATCCTTGGGTGGAACATGCCAAATGGTTTCCAAGGTAATTATTTTAAATTCTGCCTTGTAAAATTCTATAATAATGAGAAAGGTTGTTTAAATGGATAAATTTAGAGCTTCATGTTCTCTAATATAAACTGGCCCCTCTCTACTACATAATAATCCTTTTCTTCAATTTCTGATTGTCATCCATTAGACTATGAGCTACTTGAGAACTTGAGGGACTGATTTTTGTCTTTCTTTGTATCCCTAGCATTTAGCACTGTGCCTAGCACATAGACTGACTGATTAACAGATTATCATACTTCTCAGTTGATCAGTTGATTCAAATATCCTCTCTTCTTCAGCTCGAATTTCAAACTACTACCTCATCCTACCCTGGGGCAGAAGACCTAATTTCCTGCTTTAATCAATCTGTCATGAGCTCCCTTGACTCCTCTTCAAATCTCAAAACCTTTTTTGTCTTTACCCATTCCCTTATCTTCTCTCATTCTCTCCTTTCTTCCTGCTCTCAAGGATGAAACCCTCTTTGACAAGACTGAACCCCTCTACTTATGTCTTTGATCATTCTCTTTTTCTCATCTTCAGTTTCAATTTCTGTATTGACTTCTTTCCCTCTGCCAGCTTTGTGAGTGTGCTTTCTCTCTCATCATCATCTATTGATGATACCACTGTTATCTTGGCTATTTAGGCTCAAAAACTCAATTGACTTTGATTCTCTATCATTCTAAGACACCCCTATCCAGTTGGTTGTCAAGTTCTATTATATGCCAACCCCTCACTCCTCACCCTGTCACCACATTAAACCAGTCATTCATTGTCACTCACTTAGACTATTGTAGTTCAATTCAACAGATATTTAGTTCTGGCACAGGAATAAAAATATTTTAAAATATCCTTAAGGATTCTACTAGTCAGGATATGACATATACACAGATTAAGTAGGATCAGAGATTTAGAGGTAGAAGGAATCTTGGAATCCCTCTAGTCCAAATCCTTCATCTTATAGAAGAAGAAATTGAGGGCCATAAATATGGGCTACTTTGCTTGAGGTCACACACGTAATCAGTGGCAGAAGCAAGATTCAAACCCAGGTCCTCTGACTACAAGTTCAGAATTCTTTTCACTATATTGCTACCAGCTCAATTGTGATGAGATCAAGGGAGAGTTGAAATCTGATAGGAATCTTTGAGGGAAAAAAATGCCTTCAGTTACAATGGTGTCAACAGAACTGAACCTGGATAGAAAACAAGGATTCTGAAAGGTAGAGATGAGGAGGGAATGTAGTCCAGGTTTGGGGTTGATAGGTTGTGTGAAATACTTCCTACCTGGTCCACTTGCATCTTCTTCCTCAACTCAATCAATAAACATTTATTAAACATCTATAATCTACTGCTAAGTGTTGGGGTTGCAAAGAAAGAGAAAAGATAGTCCCTGCCCTTGAGGAATTCACAATCAGCTTTCCCATCTATTCTTCATACAGCTGTCAAAGTATTCTTCTTAATGGACAAATCTGACTATGTCACTCCTCTGCATGTAAACTTTTTAAAGATTTCCCCATTGCTTTTGGTATACAATACATTTATGGCCCTTCACAAAGTGGCTTCATCTTCAGCTAAAAGTGATCTCTTTATCATTTTTCTTGTAGCATATTGTTTGATTCTTTCCTTTGCATTTCTTACATTTAACCTTGTATCATACTTATTTGTATATGTCTTATACTTCCTATTAGATTGTAATAGGGCAGGGACTGTAGTTTTCATCTTCGGATCTCAGTGCCTTTTAAACACAATGAGCAAAAGGAGAACCAACCGAGAAGAGGCCGTTGGATTTGGCAATTAAGAAGTTACTACAGAATTTTGAGAAGGTAGTTTCATTAGAGTCAATGAAAAATTAATTTCGACTACAGGTGCTCAAAGAGTGAGGGGATGGTAAGGAAATAGAGGTATTGAGTGAACTGTTCTTTAGGGCAGGGACTGCACTGTTTCTCTTCTTTGGATCCCAGTGCTTTTTATATAGTAGGTGCTAAATCTGTGTTTTTAATTGAATTGACTTTTTGAAATAAGAAAGGTGCTCTACAATACACTGTAAGGTTTCTGAAATTAGTTTATGAATAACCTTTCTATAGATTGCTTAGCCACTTTTGTTATATAAAATTATAGTTAAAAACTGAAATAGTATTATATTCTTGATTATAGGTACTTAGGACATTGTTTCTATCCTTCCTCTGTGTTTTTCTTCAGATGACCTAGAATTGAATTTTTCATGGTTTAAAATATTTTAATATAGACTGTTAATAAGCTATTTTTAATATACTAGCTTTCAGATATATTGTACTTTCTCTGCATTTATGATGATAGCCAGATAGTATATCGGTTACGCCTATCAGATTTTAATAAATATGACTATTATAAAGAAAAACACACTTAAAAGTTCCCTTAGTGCTACTGATCATATTAATTTCCCCAAACAATGTATAATTCATTTTAACATTGGAACACATTTTTGTATTTACATGTACATGAGAGTGATTTAAGAATACACAATAATGAAGACTCATTAGGCAACATGTCCACCCTTTATTTTTCAGTTTTATTATTCCTTCCCATTCTTTTCCCCGAACTCATCTCCTTTCTCCAAGATCCATATATGAGATAAACAGTATCATCAACAGTATGTCAGCTTTCCTTCAAGTTCCATGACTATTCTTAATGCATGAAGCTGTTGTACCTTTCAGTGTTTTATGGAATCTTAGAACAAAAACAATGAAGAGATCTCACGTTCAGAGTAAAGAGGCCACATAAGTTGGAGAAGCGAAGTGAGGAACAATATAATATAAACTATGCTTATTTTGGATAAGAGCTGCCATTTAGGTCTCCAATAAAAAGAAAAAGAGCTGAAATGAATTAGTTAATAAAAAAATTTTAAAGTATATATCATATGAATCCTCTGTACTTGGGATAAAAATATTTTAGAGCTGATAGAGACCCTAGAGGTTTACTCCTTTCATTTTATAGATAGGGAACTGAGACCTAGAGAAGAGAAATGATGCCCCAGATTACATGGGTAGGAAGTACCAGATTTGAGAGATTAAAATCCAAAACTTCTGACTCCAAATCCAGTGTTCTTTCCACTGTAACTCACTACCTTTCTATGCTTGCTGTTTTTGACTTTAAGTGGTATTTGAAAGTGGTGAATAAAACTCTTAAAATGTATTTATAAACTTAAAAATAGAATTAAATATACCTCATGTCCTCTCATTTCAGATTTTTACTTGATTAAGCTTTGGGGTTTTAATTAAACTGTAAAATATTTTACCTTTATATTAGAATGTTTCTTTACATAGTCAGGTGAAGGTGGTAATAATGAATAATAATTGAAAAGAAAGGAAAAAAAAAGAAAGATAAAGGGAAAAAAAATTATAAGGCAAACTACTAGGATTGTCTATGGAGAAAAGAAAAAAGGAATGACTAATTCAGATTCAAGAGAGATGCCAAACCCCTGCCCTCTTTCCTCTGATATTGACTATACAAAGCATATGACTGCTCACACAGGTTTCGAATTCCCCAAAGCTACTCCTTTTCCCTTTGAGGATTCTCTGACCAGTCCTACTTTGTTCACTACAGGGCTACATGGTTCTCAAGCACAATAAATAGCAATCTGACAGCAATGTTTTTCTAGCTGCACTATGTATATTTTTACCCTTTTCTAATGAAGAAAATATGAAACTATAGAGGAGTTAAAATTAAACCATGAAGGATTAATTCTGCTTACTTGTATTATTCAATTAAAAGAGTGAGAAAACATATCCACATTCGTTTTTCTAAATTCCCCAGGATAAGGTTAAAATGGAAAGTGTGGAAAATGAAGGTGGAGAGCTGCAGTCTTAGAAATGCAAATGTCATATTATTTTGAATAAGTGTTCAGAATAAACCCCCAAATTTATTAATAGTTTTGTGGGGAGATATTTAAGTTTGAGACATATAATGTTGTTGTTTCTTTGTTTTGAAGAGGGTTAATGACATCACAAGGTGCATATGAATTGGATTTAAGTGAGGCAGAGCTGCACAAAGTCATCAGCCTCACTCTCTCCTCCCACTGAAGTCCAGTGGCAAGACATAAGTCCAGAAGACTGGCAATGGCCTGGGATGCAATGGGTGACCTTAGCCTTTCTAAATTAAGGTCTTTCCTGGGCCTCCATTTGTCCATTCCAGACTGATATTTAGAACTTGATATTTAGAAGTTGAAAGACAAGGTAGTATAAGAAAACTAGTTCTCAACTTTAGGGATTTATTTATTCATGTTATTCCAAGTAAAGGGTTAATAGTTCTAATGGTTTAGAATACTCTTGTTTTGGGCCATTGGGCTGTTTGAAGCTAACTTGTATACATTCATGTTATTTAAAAAGGTTCTTTACAAGTTGCATAAAATTAATCACAAGCTTCACTTTTTTTATTAGAGCACTGGGGATTTTAGGCTTCTCCCTCCTGGAGCATCCACCCCTCTCCTGATTGGTGACTACCCTACCTAGCCACTTTTTCAGGCAGGCCACAGCTCAGCTATATTTCTCTCCTTACACACTGGCCATCTTTTCACCAATCACAGTACTACACACACCACTACCATCCACCTTTCACCCCTTATAGTCCTAGAACCATGATTGAATCAACTGCCTTTGCTCCTGGAAAGGTTGTGTCAGTCAGCTTTCAAAATTGTGTTATCTTCCCTTACTAGAATATAAACTCCTTGAGGGCAGAGATTTTCTTTGCTTTTATATCATATCCCCAAGCACAATACTTGGCACATAATAAGTGTTTAATAAGTGCTTTTTCATGCATTAATTTATTCATTAACATTGTAGGTGTGAGTACTTGAACAGAATGAAAGGACAACAGTTCATCTGTCAAATTCAGGCTAGTTATCCTCGTCTTCTTGAACAGGTATAAAGAAGTTTTTGTAATTGTCAATATTATCTAGGGCAGGGGTGGGGAAGGCCCCATGTGGGCTTCTAGGTCCTTAGGTGAGGCCTTTTGACTGAATTCAAGTTTTACAGAACAAATCCTTTTATTAAGGGGATTTGTTCTCTGTTTGGATTCAGTCAATGGACCACACTTGAAAACCTAGAGGGCCACATGTGGCCTTGAGGCCACAGGTTCCCCACCCTTGGTCTAGGGTTTCCTCCAATTGATGATTTTAGGAAGTTCAATAAATTCAGCTATTCTTAATGAAAAAATCCAAGAGGTAGCATGTATTGTATACTATATAGAATGCTGGTCTTGGAGTCAGGAAGAGCTTAGGTTTAACTCTTTCCCTTGATAATAGCTATTTAAGAATGGGCAAATCAAGGCCCTTGACTTGTTTGAACCTCAGGCAAAACTCTCTATTCATTGTTGGATAGGTTGTAATCTGCATTATTTCCACACAAATGAAATAAAAAAAATCTTTGACCTGAAATAGATGTTTGCTTTATGTCTTTTTGTTATTATTTAGAAAAGCAAGAAAAAAATTTTAGAAAAAAATTAATAAACTGCAAATTTATAGATAGCATATGTATAGCATATATATGTATAACACACTTTACATATTAATCTCATTCTGTCCCTACCACAATCCTGTGAGATGGGTGCTATTATTATTATTTCTATTTTATAGATGAGAAAACTGAGACTAAGAGAGATTAAATGACTTGTCAAAAATCACACAGCTAAGTATCTGAGTTGTATTTAAATTTAGCTCTTCCTGATTCTAGGAACAACATCTACTATACTACTTAGCTGTAAATATAGCACCTAATATTTATATAGTTTTTTAATGTCTGCAAAGTAGCATCTTTATGACAACCCAGTGAGATAAGTGTATTTCTTCCCATTTTATGGATAAGAAAAATAGTTCAGGAAGGCTAAACAAATGAAAGCATAGCCAACAAGTATCAGAGATAAGACTTTTATACATCTTCTGATTCTATGACCAATGCTCTTTCTAGTACGTCATGATCACGGAAAAATAGTTTGTGGTGCATATATGTATATTTTTCCCATTTTGGGGGAAAAATACTTACCAAAAGCAGACAAGATAAATTGTCAAACTGTGTAAACTTATGTTAAGATGTAGGAAGAAATCTTTGCTGTTCTATCTATCCTTCCTGAAATTCAGCTTTTTTGAATAAGTGACATTGTAGTTTGAGGATTAGGAAACTCAAAAATAGCAGTGATCATAACTGATGAGATGATGCCTACGTGTATATGCTTGTGGTGTGTGTGTGTGTGTGTGTGTGTGTGCTCACCAGAAGGGCTGACCCAGTGACTCTTTCTTATAGTTATTAAATATTTGTTGAAGACATCTTTAAAAAAGCCCAAAAAACATTGTTTTCCTTATCTTACTGATGAGAAAGAAAAAATATAGCTTTGGTTAGAGCCACAAGGAGGAAATCTTAATAATTTAAGGCCTGGAGTTGTATTGTTAAATATAAATGAAATATTTTAGTGTCTTATTTGTGGTATACACACACACACACACACACATACACATAATTTTGCTGTTAGCATTAGAGTGTATGTATCGAACAATTATTTTTGCAATAGGAAGGTAATTTTAGATTTATTTTTACTTATATAGTCTTTTTATCCCACAGCTGCTGTCTACCTCAGATACTACAGAGGATGAAAGTGTTGAGCTACCAAGTATGTACAATGATAATGCACCTTAAATTTAAATTTCATTATTTTACATTGACTGTCAAGAAAACATATAAATAAAGGGTTTACAAGATCATTATAAAAATAAGTACATGAAATAGTTATAAAATTGAAGGATGTTCAATTCTGAATAAAAATAAAGTTTGTTTTCCTTCTTCCATTTAATATTTTTAAAAATAAACTGTATACTGGATTTTGAGGATTTGGGAGAAGGGAATTTTCTATGTTCTTTTTTACTTACTCAACTTTAGTCATGTAATTATTTATTAATATTTAAGTTAATAAATCACAGATAAATTAATATGTAAAATGCAAACTTTATGTAATTCTGATTTATATATTTTTAACATTTGAATATCTTTGCAAATTAAACCATTTAAAATTATTCTAATTTTCATAAAATTCTTCATTCTAAATAGTTATTCATTTTGGACCAAGAGAACACCATTCAGAAGATGCAATCATGATGAATACATCTGTGGTCAAAGCAGCTTTGGAAATGGGCTTTAATACAAGGCTAATAAAACAGACAGTTCAGAGTAAAATCTTAACAACTGGAGAAAATTACAAAACAGTCAATGATCTTTTGTCAGATTTACTTAAGGCAGAAGATGAAACAAGGGAAGAGGAGAAAGAACAACAAGCTGAGGAAATAGAATCAGGTATATATGAGCTACTGATTTTAGTCAAGCTCTATGTTCTTCTTAACAAGTGTAAAAATTACTTTTAGTGCTTGAAAATTTATTCTTCCTCTCTCTCTTCTATAAATTCATCCTAAAATCAAGTGTAAATGATGTTTTGATTATTTGGTGTGTCACTGCACACTTAATTGAAAGTTAATTACATATGCATATTATATTGTTCTAGTTCTATCTTTCTGGATGTTCTTTTTCTGTTTCCACAATATTATTTCTTCTTTTTATTCCTAAAATATATCCAAAGCTGAAAGTTCAGTTTCCTTATCTGTAAAATGAATGATTGGACTATATCAGCAGCTCTCAAAGTGTGGTCTGTGGACCCTTGTCGGGATCCCCAAGACCATTTTAGGGAATCCTCAAGGTCAAAACTATTTTCATAATAATCCTAAGACTTTTTTTGCCTATTAGAATATTCCTCCCTTGTCCAACTACATAGCTGTGAGGCCTTATTTTTTTCATGTACTTCAACTAAAATAACATATGGTAACATTGCATACAGCAGATATGAGAATTCAGTAGTTCTTTATTAAACCAGGCACCAAAGAGAATTTGCAAAAATAAATAAAACAAAGTTACTCTACTTTTTTGGGGGAGTAGGGAGAATATAATTATGTTTCATAAAAATATGTTATTTGTGTTAACATATTAGTTTATTATTACTATTTTAAATTAGTTAAATTTAGGTTAGTAAAGACTTAAAATGTACCAATTTTAATTTCTAATGCAGTAAATCATAATAGATACAGCTCACATAAACACAATCTCAGTAATAATGTTTAAGAGTATAAAGGGGTCTGAGACCAAAATGTTTGAGATCCTTTGGACTAGATGGTTTCTAAGGTCTATTCTAGCCATCAGTATACTAGCAAATGTTTAATGACTAACTCTCTGGAGAAAAAAAAAAAGTACCCATGACATGCTTAGAAGTTTAATCTTCATTATTAACATTTTCTCCATCACTTTCTTAAGTCTAGAAAATCAATAAAATAATAAATCAAGCATTTGCTGATTTCCAAGGTGTGAATGCTTACATGGAATATTTAACAATTGGCTCTCTACTGGGCCTGGTTCCAGAACACCCCTCCTGTGATCCTATGCTTGTATTGTCCCTTTGGACTGAATGCCCTTTCTTTGTCTTCACTTGCTGAAATCCTGCTTACCCAGTTCACGTATCATATCTCTTCCACTGGAAGCTTCACTGATCTTTTTCTTTTCCATATTCCCAGTGCTTTGCATGTAATTCCTCAATAACTACTTGTTTGATTTAAGTAACAGAATAATACCTTGTTTATATGTATTGTACTTATCAAAGTTTACCTTGTATTATAATCATTTGTATATGTCCAAAAAAAATTAAATATCCACTTTGTGTAGAGTACTTGCATTAGGAACTGAGAAACATACAACATTTAGATAAAACAGGGCCCTGCTCTAATGAGGCTTACTGTCTAAGAGTCTACTGTGTATATATAATTATGATAATACCTTGAATTTAAATAAAACCTTTTCATTTGTTTTTAAGGATGAAATTATGTAATTATTTGAAAAAGGTTATTTTATTGGCATAATGAACTTCAAATAAAGAAATTTCTTGGATCACTCTAGATCAGTATTGGCTTTGCAACTTATAGTTTTAGAGCTGCCTGGGGCACTAAGAAGTTAAGTTACTTTCCCAGGGTTACACAGCCATTATGTCTTGCTGGGCCTTTATGCACTACAACATAATGTTAAATAGTAGTAAAAATAATAACAACTAATATTTATTGAACACGAGGTTTGCAAAATGCCTCCTAGATATCTTATCTGAGCCTTTAATAACCTTATGCAGTAGCTACTCCTATTATTATTCTCCTCTAAAAGTTGAGGAAACAGGCTCGGAAAAGATAAATGGTTTACTTTATGGTCACATAGCTAATAGGTATCTGAGGTTGCATTCCAACACAAGTCTTTCTGTATCCAAGTCTAGTCCTCTATATGCTGAATGGCTTTATCAGATTACTATAAAAATTAATATAGAAGAATTCTGGATTTATAAAATTGAAGGAAGCATAAATATGAGGAAGACATTTGAAATCTGTCTTACTCTACTTCATAGTTAGAAAAATAATTATGCTGGATGTTTCATATTTGAAATCTGAGAACAAGGAAAGAAATAGTCAGTACTCTTAATTTCTTAACTGTAGTCATATGTAATTGTTTTAGATTCATTATATCATAAGCATTATTGGAAATTAATTTTATCTTGTATAATAGCCTGCCTTTATTATAGTTATTTGTGTAGGTCTCATCTTCTCGTCTTAGACTTTATGACACAATCACAGTAATAGAAAGTAACATGAATAGTTTAAAAGAAGACAAATTGCTAGTTGAAGTTTGAGAAGAGAAAAGTGAATTACCAGCTCAGGTATAGGATTAATTTGAGTTGGATTTTAAAGGGTGGGCAAGAATTCATAAGAGTAGGAGGAGGCCAGAGGATGATGCAAAAAAGGGAGCAGTCTGAATAAAAGGTACAGGAGCGAGAAAATGAAGTCATATAGAAGGTGATAGTAAGTGGTTTCGTTTTTCTGCAATATAAAGTATGTGGAGAGGTCTAGTACAAGGTAGGGCAGGAAAGGTAGGTTGCCATCATATTATAGAAGGCCTTGAATGCTAGGCTTAGGAGTTTGAACTTTAGTTGGTGAGCTATAGGGAATCATTGAAAGGTTGTAAACAGATGACTGACATGACCAAAACCATGTGTAAGTAAGATTAATGTGGTACAGTGGATACAGCACTGGACTTGGAGTCAGGAAGACCTGTGCTCAAATTGTGTCATAGACCTTTACTAGATAGGTAACTCTGAGTAAGTCACTTATCCTCGCTGTGCCCCAGTTTCCTCATTAATAAAATGAAAGTGCTGGGCTCAATGGCCTCTAAGGTTCCTTCCTACTCTAAATCTATGATCCTATTACATATTGGAGGAAAGACCTAATGGGAGGCTATTGTAGCAGCCGAGAAGATGAGGACTTTACTAGGATGGTGTCAGTAAGAACAGAGAAATGAAGATGGCTATGAATTAAATTGGGAAGGTAAAATTGACAGAACTATCTATGAGAGGTGATAGAGATGGAGGAGTTGATGATAATACCAAGGTTTAAACCCAGATTAGGTCAGTGATATTACTGATGAAGAAAGAGATTAAAAAAGATGTTTTAGATGAAAGATATTAAATTTGGTTTTGCATATCATGAATTTTATGGTTCTGTTGAAACATGAGATATAGTTGTGTACTGTATCTGTTATTTTGTTATATTTTTGAAATCTGAATTTCATTGTATTTCAACTTATATCTATCAATTTCACCATGATGCCTATCTCTGCTTATTTTATTTTGTTATTTTCATATGAAGACTGCATAAAAAAGGTATTTCATTATTTTGTCAGTTATAATTCTTAAGATTATAGAATAATTAAAGAAAACAAAGTTAGGAAATGAAGCAATATTGAAGTTTTATGATTAGAGTTAATATGTTTAAATTAATGTATTTTTCTTTTTCAATAAAGATGACTTATCATTAATTCGGAAGAACAGAATGGCTCTGTTTCAACATTTGACCTGTGTGCTTCCTGTTCTGGATAGCCTATTGACTGCCACTGTGATCAGTGAACAAGAATATTATGTTATTAAAGAAAAAACACAGATATCTTTGCAAGTCAGAATGCTGATTGATACCATCTTAGTTAAAGGAAATGTTGCGGCCAACATATTCAAAAAATGTCTCAGAGATTTTGACCCAGTCTTACATGAGAATTTGTTTGGTGAGTTTACTGAAAAAGTATTTTTAAAAACATTATAGATCTTTGGCCATATATCATCAATATCTATGATCATTTTAACCCAAGTTATAGTCAACAGTTTAAGCATTTCACTTGTGACAAGATTAAAGGATTTTATTCTCATCACAGCTTATTTGAATATCATAAGTAATTATGACAGTCAACCTGAATCTCAATTGTTACACTTTGGAAAAATGATGGTTCCACTGTACTGTACTCATATCTGAATTATTCTATTAAGTTCTGGGTAGGTACCACATTTTAGGAAGGACATAGATGAGCCACAGAATATTCAGATGATCAGTTGGAGGAATATAAAGAATGCTTAGCCAGAAAAGAAAAAAATGTTTTAATTAAAATAAATTTTATTGATATATTTTGCTTTTACATTATCTATATTATCTAATATATCTCTTCCTCCTTCCTCTCTCAGGGTCAGTCAGTGAATAAGCATTTATTAAGCACCTACTATGTGCTAGGCACTGTGCTAAGGGCTGGAGAAAGCTAGCCCTTGAAACAAAGAATAAAAAAGTGAGGAGAAAACAGTTCATCAAAACTAACCAATCCATCAAAAAAGGCTGATGTTGTATACAGTGCTCCACAACCATAGTTCCCAACCTCTGCAAAGATAGAGGGAGGGATGTTCCTTCAAAGAGAATATTTAAGAAAGACATGATAGCTGCTTTCAGGTATTGAAAGATGGTCTTATGGAAAAGGGATTAGATTGCATCCCAGTAGCAGAACTAAGAGCATGGTTAGAAGTCACAGTGAGGCAGATTTAGGTTCAATGTAAAGGAAGACTCCCTAATAATTAGAATTATCCAAAAGTAGAATAGGATACAGTGGAGATACTGGGTTCCCTATTATTTTTTCTTACAAGAAAACACTTAAAGATCACTTTTCTGCCATTTGTAGAGATTCTCATTTAAGTACATAGCCTCCGAGGTTCCTTCCAACTACAATGTTCTGTGAAGATATGCTCTGTGGCTTATATTTTAAGAAGTAGATCTCTAATATGATAATACTTTTTTTCATTTTTTTTCTCCCCTAGTGGAAAAGAACATAAAGTATATTCCAGCAACAGATGTTTCAGGTAAAATAATATTATCACTTAAAATTAATATTAATGGTCTTTTTTCTTGTTTTTAATGTGAAAAAGCACATTGTATTTCATTATTATTTTTTTCTTTTTAGACTTGTCAATAGAAGAACAGTTGAGGCGATTACAAGAAGAAAGAACATGTAAAGTTTGTATGGACAAAGAAGTATCAGTTGTCTTTATTCCTTGTGGACATCTAGTAGTTTGCAAAGAATGTGCACCTTCTCTAAGAAAATGCCCCATTTGTAGAAGTACAATCAAGGGTACAGTTCGTACATTTCTTTCATAAAGAAAAGTCAATTATCTTCCAAACTTTCATAGCTAAGGAATTTGAGATGTTATCTTAAACCTTCAGAACTAAAGATTATTATTCTTTGTACCTGATTAACTTCTATTCTGACTTGTTTTTCCCTCTCTCCCACCAAAAATAAAGGTGGGAAGATGAGAGGAAGTATCACAGTTTGCTCCTGAACAAAGAAAGGAATGTAGACTGTTAGAGGGGTTGTAATAATTTAATGTTTCACAGTGTGAAATTTGTAAATGAACAGACTTTTGAGAGTTTTTATTTAATGTTTCTGACTGTTATTTATACTGTGGGGGAATGATGGGAACTGAAAAATACAGCATTTCATAGTTCTTGCACTCTACCTCTTGGTAAAATGGGAAATAAAACATGATATAGGGAGAAGTTTCATATGTAATGAATCTATAATGAATAATGTAATAAAGTAATCCAAAAAGGCTACTCTGGTCCAAATGTTTTTACTATACAAACCGTCAATGTAATCATTTCCATGCTATGCTTTCTGGACCTCAATGCCATTATCCAATATGGTAGTTATTCTTCTTGGTTTGTACAATCTGACAACTGGAGTAGGATGCCATCTAAGCCTTAATGAAAGTCGCAATAAAAATCTTGAACAGGATGAGGACAAAGACAGAATGTTTAGACTTCTAAAGCCTGGGGACTTCTTTCCACGTTGACATCAAACCATTAATGACTACTAGTTCAGAAAATTGACAAGCACTTTGTTTTTCAATTTGGTTTTTTTTTTTTTGGTGAGTCAATTGGGGTTAAATGACTTGCTCAGGATCACACAGCTAGTAAGGGTCAAGTGTCTGGTCTGAGATGGGATTTGAACTCAGGTCCTCCTGACTCCAGGGCCATTGCTCTATCCACTGTGCCACCTACCTGCCCTGACAAGCATTTATTAAACACCTACCATGTGCCAGACACTGTGCTAGGTGCTAAGAATACAAAGACAGAAATAGAATATTTCCAACCCTCAGGGAGGAAAAAAAATGTACATATAAAGTATATTTCTACAAAATGGAGGGGAGGTGGGAGTGCAGTCCAGGCTTGTCAGAGAGCCTACGCAAAGGTCCAGAGACTTGGGACTCTGGGGTTTTCAATGAACAGATAATGTTTATAGTACTCTCCTGATCTACTCTAGTAATGCTTTGACAAAAAGGAAATGGCCTATTCTTGAGGAGTCTAGTGTGGCTCTGGAAGTCACTACTTCTCTTCCTAAGTCCTCACAAACTATTTTTTCTTTAAATAATACTATCTCGAATTTTGCCAACAACTGAAGCCAACCCGTCTTTTATGTGAAGACTCAATCCTCTTTTGCTTTTTTTTTTTTTTAAACTTCAGGACATTTGTTCTTCAGCTCTTCAACAATTCTACACAGCAAGATAAAGAACTACCACTCCTATATTTTAAGAGGTGATCTAGAAATCCAAATCTCATTGCCCAATACCAACACCAGTATCTTAATCCATTTAATCTCTTCTTAAATCCACCTATCTAGAATGAGACCCCTACCTTCAATCAGTAGCAATGATGAAAACATAGAAACTTCTGTTTGGTTCAAAAGACAGTCTTCTGTACCCCAAATCCTTATGATTCAGAATTGCCGTATCTCAAGATGTGAACCTCCTTCCCCTGCTACCGTTCTCTGCTCACCATAATTAAGCTCAGTCCCACCCATTCCTATCCCTACTCTTTTCTGCCCTCCCTTCCTATTATACCTTCTGGAGTCTGTGTTCTGTTATCAACAAATTTCCCTTCATCCTAAACTTCTTGTTTTTGAACTTTTCATCTTATTCTCATGGAAACTATTCTTTGGAAAACAATATCCCTGATCATCTGCTCCGGGTCTGGGTATTCCTTTGAGGTTTTTTCCATCTACCTTTCCAGCTCACTCTTCCTCAAAATATAGTTCACTCAAACCCCTGCCTTTATGTTTAGGAACTTTAATATGTATGTTTATGTCCCCTCAAAAATGCTCACCTCCCAGATCATCAGTCTCAATAATTCCAACGATAGTACCTCAAACCATCCACAGAGAGAGCCACACTTTGGATCTCACTATAACCATTACTTACCACAGTCATGATCCTGTACTTCCATTTCTCCTTTTGCCTCAGTCTCACCCTCATGACTGTCTACAATCCCTCTATACTTTCTTGCTCTCTCACCCTCTGCTCTGCTTCACTTTTTTTGCATCTCATAACCCTCCCTCTTTTGTGACCTAGGAAACCATTCTTTGAACAAAGATTGTAAAAGAAAAAAAAAAAGAAATTCAGCATAACTAACATCCATATCGGGTCTGTTAGCATATATAATACACAACTCTTATAGTTCTCTACTTGTATAATGATGAAAGGAGAGGCATTTTATTAACTTTCCTCCAGTCTCATTTCAGTCTTGTCCCTGTAGTTGAGAGGTTTATCTGCCCTCTGTTCTTGAATACCTTGCCTTTTTACACTTTTGCTGCTCACACCTTGACAAACCTCAATCCTGGGTTATCCCCACCTTCCACCTTCTCTGCTGAAAACTACTGAGAGAAGTCATGCAAGCATGCTAATTGGGCCCCAAAATAATTAATGTTATCTAATTTTAACTGGGCCCTCATTACTGCCCAATTAAGAAAAGGATTACTTCCTTTTCTTTTTCCCTATTTATCATTGCATTCCTTTATTAGCTATTCCAAGAACTTTTCTCCTTAAGAGCCCATGCTGCTTCTCCTTCCCTACTTTATTGAGAAAATCAAAGTCATCTATCCATTAAAAAGGTACTTCTTCCGACTACTCCATACCTCAAAACCATTCTATGTCTTCACCTAGCCTCTTCTCCTTTGAGTCAGTTGTTTAAACTTTCCTCTTTCTGTTAGGGTACCACCATCTTTCCTGTGACTTAGGTTCACAACTGCCAGTCATTTTTTGAATCTTTCTATCCCCAAATCTTCTGCAACTGTAGCCTTCTCTATATGCAGCTAGTACCCTAATTCAGGCCCTCATTACCTCTTAACAGTTAGCCTCTTAATTGGTCTCCGTTCTTTCAGTATTTCTCCTCTCGCATCCTTCAAACAGTTGCCAAAATAATCTGACAAATACATTGTTCTAAATACATGTTAGGTTAGGGTTAGAGTTTTGGGTTAGGATTTGAGGTTAGCATTGGAATTAGAGTCGGAGGATTAGTGTTAGGATTTTGGAAGGCTTTAAATGCCAAGCTGAGGAGTTTGTGTTTTATCTTAGGCAATAAAAATTCATTGCAGATTTGTCATCAAGACAGTGACATACTCAGTACAATGTATTTGTCAGATTTGGAGTTGGGAAAATCTGGGTTCAAATCCCACTTATTTCTTTAATGGCCATCGATAAGTTTCTAAGCTTCTTTGAGCCTTGATTTCCTGATTGGTAAAATGGGGATAATAATATCTTCAGTACCTACTTCATAGGCATGTTTTGAGGCTCAACACAACATATAAAGCACTTCGGAAATTTTAAAATGCTACACTCAAATATTCAAATGAATATGATTTCAGGTAGATTTTTCTTTTACCATCTTGTGTAATTCTTTTTTTAAAATTAATTAGTTTATTTTTAGTTTTCAACAATCACTTCCATAAGCTTTTGAGTTTTAAATTTTTCTCCCTCTCCCTAACTTCTTCCCCAAAACGGCACACAATTTGATATAGGCTACACATATACATTCCTATTAAACATATTTTCACATACGTTGTAAGGAAGAATTAGAATCAGTAGAAGGAACCACAAGAAAGAGAAAACAAAACAAAACAGAAGAAAAAAAGAGCAAATAGTATGCTTCGATCTCCATTCAAACTCCATTGTTCTTTCTCTGCATGTGGATAGCATTTTCCATTACGAGACTTTTGGAGATGTCTCAGATCCTTGTATTGCTGAGAAGAGCTAACTCTATCAAAGTTAGTCATCGTACAGCCTGGCTGTTACTGTGTACAATGTTCTCCTGGTTCTGCTCACTTCACTCAGCATCAGTCCATACAAGTGTTTCCAGTTTTTCTGAAGTACACTTGCTCATCATTTCTTATAGCAGAATAGTATTCCATTACATTCATATACCACAACTTGTTCAGTCATTCCCCAATTGATAAGAAATTCCCTCAGTTTCCAATTCTTGGCCACCACAGAAAGAGCTGCTATAAATATTTTTGTACATGTGGGTCCTTTTCCCATTTGTATGATCTCTTTTGGGATACAGCCCTAGAAGTGCTATTGCTGGGTCAAAGGATATGCACATTTTTATAGCCCTTTGGGCATAGTTCCAAATTGCCCTCCAAAATGGTTAGATCATTTCACAATTCCACCAACAATGCATTCATTAGTATTCTAATTTTCCCACATCTTCTCCAACATTTATCATTTTTCTGTTTTGTCATGTTGGTCAATCTGATAGATATGATGTGGTACCTCAGAGTTGTTTTGATTTGCAATTCTCTAATCAATAGTGATTTAGAGCATTTTTTCATGTGACTATAGAAGGCTTTAATTTCTTCATCTGAGAACTGTCTGTTCATATCCTTTGACCATTTATCAATTAGGGAATGACTTGTATTCTTATCAATTTGACTTAGTTCTCTATACATTTTAGAAATGAGGCCCTTACCAGAGACCCTGGTTGTAAAAATTCCCAGTTTTCTGCTTCCCTCCTAATCTTGGTTGCATTGGCTTTGTTTGTACAAAAACTTTTCAATTCAATGTAATAAAAATTTTCCATTTTGCATTTCATAATGTTCTCTATCTCTTGTTTGGTCATAAATTCTTCTGTTCTCCATAAATCTGAGAGGTAAACTATTCCTTGTTCTCCCAGTTTGCTTATAGTATCAGCCTTTATATCTAAATCGTGAATCCATTTTGACTTTATTTTGGTATATGGTGCAAGATTTTGGTCTATGCCTAGTTTCTGCCATACTCTTTTCCAGTTTTCCCAGCAGTTTTTGTCAAGTAGTGAGTTCTTATCCCCATCTTGTGTAATTCTTGACCATACTTACTCATCCTGTATGACTCCACCATGCCTTTCCATAAGTTTGCCACAGGGGGTTCACCCAGCAGATTAGCAAACAAGATCAGGTTTACCTTTCTTGTTACCTATATTTTGTATATTTGTTTTTATTTATTTATTTTTTGGCTAGGCGATGGGGTTAAGTAACTTGCCCAGGGTCACACAGCTAGTAAGCGTTATGTGTCTGAGTCTGGATTTGAACTCAGGTCCTCCTGAATCCAGGTACGGTGCTCTATCCACTGCGCCACCTAGCTGCCCCTATTTTGTATATTTGTGCATAAACATCTGTAGTCACATGTTTATTGCTGGCTTTTTCCCCTCAGATTTTTGTCTCTTCTGAATTTCTACTGCTATTCTTCCTACAATGTAGCTACTCTCTATGACATATATTGGTGGATATACTGGAAGTTTCTCTCTTCCCTTGGCTTTTTTAGTTTAAAGCCCTTTTTATTTCTAGAGGGGACTCTGTTCAGGTTAGACTAGATAACTTCTGAGATTTGGGATTTATTTTGTTTCCAAAAAGATTTGGAGGAAAATTTTTCATTTATAGTATTTGCATACTAAAAAGCAGAGATATCACCTTGCAGATAAAGGTCTGTATTGTCATTTTCTATTTTTTGGGGGGGGGGGGCACGGGGCTAGGCAATGGGGTTAAGTGGCTTGCCCAGGGTCACACGGCTAGTAAGTGTTAAGTGTCTGAGGCCAGATTCGAACTGAGGTCCTCCTGACTCCAGGGCTAGTGCTTTATTCACTAGGTCACCTAGCTGCACACCCCCCCCCATTGTCAAAGTTATGTTTTTTTTCCCCAGTAGCAATGTACGGCTGTGAGAGTTAGACTATAAAGAAAACTGAGCACAGCAGAATCAATGCTTTTGAATTGTGGTGCTGGAGAAGACTTTTGAGATTTCCTTGGTCAGCAAGGAGATCAAATCAATCAATACTTTTTAATTAATCGAGAACTATTAGAAATTCAGAGCTATTCAGAAATTAATTCACATTATTCACTGGAAAGTCAAATACTGAAGCTGGAGCTTAAATACTTTGACCACATAATGAGAAGACAGGACTCATTAGAAAAGACCCTGATGTAGGGAAAGATTGAAGGCAAAAGAAGGGAATGACAGAGGATGAGATAGATAGTGTAACAGAAGTAACAAACTTGAGCTTGTATAGACCCTGAGAGACAGTGGAGAATAGAAGGGGCTGCCAAGCTGTGGCTCATGGGATCACAAAGAGTCGGATATGACTGAACAACTGGAAAAAAAAAACACCCAACAAAAATGCTTGTACCTATGTATATACTTTGTCTAAAGTTAGTGTTCTGATCCTTATTATGGTAGTCAAAGGGTTATACTAGCTGTAGGGCTGGGGTAAACGTGTAGGCCTTTGCAAGAATCAGTTTGGTTCCAATGATACCTCTTTGGAGAAAACATTGCATTTCAGACATCCCTGTGATTCTTACTGTTTCAAGGGGATTAGATTAGAAAGAGATTGCATACTAAGGCCTTGCCAGGGCCTTTTCTCCAAAAGAAAAAGGAAACTCCTCAGACCTTGAATCAATTATCTGAGAAAGTAGGGCTGCAGTATACCCACAGTCTTCGAATAGCCTGCTGTAAGCTGGATAGGGATAGTTCTAAGGGAATTGTTTGGTAGCTGTAATTGATGGGGTGCTCAGGCCCCAGCCTTAAGTTCATGTCTCTGGAAGCCTCCCAATTTCTCGGTAGGCCCCTATCCTGGGGGAAAGTTTTCTCTTGTTGCAGAACACATTCTCTCTCTTTTTTTTTATTTTTAATTTTTTTATTAATTTATCCTGATTTATCAACAATGACTTCCATAAGCTTTTGAGTTTAAAATCCTTCTCCCCCCTCCTCCCCACCACCACCCCCAAGACAGCGCACAATCCCATATAGTCTAGACATATACACTCCTACCAAACACATCTTCACATCAGTGATGTTGCAAGTAAGAACTAGAAACAATAGGAGGAACCACCAGAAAGAGGAAACAAAACCCAACAGAAGAGGGAAAAAAATAGCAAATAGTATGCTTCAATCTGCATTCTTTCCTTGGATGTGGATAGCACCCTCCATCACCAGGCCTTTGGAGATGTCCTAAGTCCTTGTATTGCTGGGAAGGGTCAAGTCCACCAATATTAGTCATCGTACAATGTGGCTGTTATTGTGTACAATGTTCTCCTGGTTCCACTCACCCCACTCAGCACTAGTCCATACAAGTCTCTCCAGGCAGAACACATTCTCTTATCAGAACAGTCAGAGGGGCTCCTGGTCCAATGATTTTTGTCCCTGGCTGGCCCAAGGACTCTTCCTCCCTCCAGATCCCCAAGGTCCTTGCCTCTGACAACTCCCTCAATATCTAGCATACTCCTTACTCCTTCCCATTCATAGCTCCAAATACACCTGGACCTTTAGATTAGTAGCCCTGGCATTCCTTTCCCATGCCCCTCTACCATATAAACCCCACCACTATATTCAGTCCCTGGCAGGTTCCACTTTTACTAAAGCATTACAATAAACTCTTTGGCACTTGATTAAGAGAAGGCTTGAATGTGTGAATTCATTCCAGGCAATTCTGCCTTGGCATTCTCAGGGTCCCAGTACCCCAAAACCTCTTCAGAATGGCAACAGGAGAACTGTAGCAGATAAACTACAGGAAGTAGTTACAATGAGGAAATATAATGGGATTTGCAGCAGAGAAAGAGCACAGAAAGCGGGGGGTGGGGGTGGAGGTCTTAAAAAAGTATGAATCCAAGGAGAAGGTCAGAGTAGTGGAAATGTCTGGTTAAAGCAGCTGTTTTGACTATGAAGAATGCTCCATAGTGAAAAATAAATAAACTTTTAGGGCTGCCCTTCAGCTGATCTGCTTAGCTTCAAGGTGGTCTAAAGTGGTAACTTTGGGTAGTGGCTTTTAACAGTCTCTTGTCAACGAATCAGCTAATTCTGGTTCTTCCAGCAGGGGTGGGGAACCTTCCGTCTTGAGGCCACATGTGGCCCTCTAGATTCTGTGAAGTTTGGATTCAGTGAAAGCATTGCACTTGGGGGCCTAGGGGTCCACATGTGGCCTCAAGGCTGAAGATTCTCCACCCTTGTCTAAGGCATCAGTTAAAAGCTAATCTGATAATGGCTCTACAAAGAGTAGGTCTGCTTCTCGTTTTGGCAACTGCCAATCCATCGGCAAATAATTACTTGGTTTTAATAGCAAAGGAGTTGCTAGGGATTGAGGGAAATACAAAGCAGAATAAGATACAGGTCCTAATACTATGGGGCTTACAGATGTATTGTAGAGGAGATGACATGTATGCAATAAATATAACACACGACTAATTCACTTTTAGCACTTCAATTTAAGGTGTCAGTTGGATACCTAAGATTAGTCCAACGGACAGGTTTAGAGGGATCCAGGAAAACTAGTGATGTGGTAATAGTTGAAGCCATGAGTGAGTGTAGGGGAAAGAACAGATGATTCAGGGTCAGAAAACCTAGGTTTACAGTCATCACTTCTGGAACTTCAGAGAAGTAATTTCATCTTTCTTGGCCTCAGTTTCCTCATCTATAAAATGAAAGCATCAGTCTCTCTAGATGACCTCCTTTCCTGCACTGTGACCCTCTATTCTCTTTCTATATGACTTTTTCCCCTGCCTTATGTGTTTTTGTCATTTACATCTGACAAATGAAACTCAGAACCAATTCTCAATAGATGTCGAGGTTCTTGTTTTTGCTCACTAGGGGGATGTGACATTTCTTTTCTATTACAGGAAGTTAAGTGACTATCGGGCCAACAAGACATTGGAAACAGGAAATGGTTGAGGGTCCTGGAATTCCCCGGGCTGACTGGTTACTACTCCAGGCCTAACAGGAACTCATATCAAGTCTGCGTCCTTCAGCAAGTTCCCCTAAAAAGAAGGGCTTGTTTTCGTCCTCAAAAAGAAGATGAATTAGGAATTGGACGAATGAAGTAAGTGCGGGCGTTAAGGTTACATAAGCCGAAAAAAGACTCAAGCTCAGGCCTTTTCAGAAGGGCGGAGGCCGGCTCTAGGCACCCCGCGCATGCGCAGGTATCAGAAGACGCAGGCCCTCACCTGCCCTAAGGCGGCTCTTGTTATCGTTTAAAAACGACTTGTCCCTTTTTTGGTCTCTTTAAGGCTCGGGCCGGGGTTTGCTTTGGTGAAAAAAACGCGGAGCGAAGCGCTGTTTAGGTGATCCCAGGTAATCGAGGGTGGTGGTGGGAAACTCACAACAAAAAAGTGTGGATTTTATTTACTTTCCCTGCCTAGCCTTTGACTCAGCTTAAGCCAACTGCCGGCGGCTTCTTTCGCACCCCAACCCTTGGCATTTCATCCCCACCAGTTTCTGGCTCTGCAGCTCAGTCCACTCACACATCGCCTCCGCCCCCGCCTCCGCCCCCTGGGTGGCGGTTGGCGCAGCTGCTTCTCATTCTACTCCAGGCAGGAGGGGGCGTGATGACGTCAGCGCGACGTCAGCCTCCGCCGGGAGAGGGCCGGGGGCGCCTGTCTGTGAGAAGGGTACGGGTCTAACGACTGCCCCTGGCCCTGGACCCCCACAGCCTCAGCTTTCCAGGAGAGATCGGCCGAGGCCCTGAGAGGCCGCCTAGGAGCCGGACCTGCGTCTCTTTTTCCCTTTGCCAGCCACGCCCCCCGGGGGCTACGGTGAGTACGGCCCTTTTTTTTCTCCCTGGATCCCAGCGATCCGAGTGTGAGGGGAGGCGGGCATCCAGGCCCTAGGGAACGCGGGGGTAAGGCAGGGGCCGAGGGGCGGCCGCTGCCCCTGGGCGGGGCCCTGCCCGGAGAAGCGCCCCAGGGGGTCGGAGGGGACGCTAAGGGGAGGGGCGGGGTCCCTAGGCCGGACCTCCTGCGGGCCCAAGGCCTGGAGAGCGGGCTGGTCGGGGCTGCCCCTAGGGGAAATTGTCCGTTCCGCGAGGTTCCTGGGCATTTCCCAGCTGCCTGTTTTTTCATTTTTATTTTTTTTCCCGGTCCCCAGCTAATAGATGGGAATGCCAGGCTACGCCGCTTTTCTTTCACACATCGTAGGCGCTTGATAAATGTTTATTCAACTTGATTACTTTTTTCCAAGTGTTTGCAGCGTTTTCGTTTGGTGATCAGAGATCTAGAATGAATATATATTATTTATAACCCGTTCCTTCCTGCCCTTTATCTTTAGTAGCAACATATACTGTTCATAAGATTTTAGAGATGGAAGGACCCTTAGAGATCATCTCCTTGTAGTGGGTATGTATGTATGTATGTATGTATGTGTGAAAGCGAGAGAGAGAGATGGACCCCTTTGGCAATCTGGTGACGTTTATGAACACCTCGTATCGTTATTTTTAAATGCAGAAAATAAAATACATAGTATGATAAAAGAAGTCAATTATAATACAGTGAGGAAAATTTTGAAAGTTCATGGACCTCGGGTTAAAAATTTCAGACTTTTGGTCAGTTTTTAAAACAGAGTCTGGCAAATAGTAGGTGCTTAATAAATATTGACTGATTGGCATGAGGAAATTGATGGCCAGAGGGGTGAAGTGACTTGTCCATTGTCACAAAAGGAGATCCAGCTTAGGTGTTGTGATTCCAGATTAAGGACTTTTGTCACTGTCACACTACCTGTTAGGATAAGAGAGATTGCATGTATAATAATTTAAACTAGAGTTGTAGTTTTGCATTATTTTAAAAATTGCTTAAAAACTTACTACATGCCAGGCACTTTGGATGTTGGACCTGGTTGCTAGAGACCTGTTTTTGAATTCTGATTTTGATACTGTGACTTTGAGCAAGTCTCACTTAGCTTCTCTAAAATTGTTTCTTCATCTGTGAAATGACAATAATACTCGCACTGCGTACCTGCCTGGTGGGGACAGTGCTCTGGGAACCTTAAAGTAATATATAAATGTGAGCTAATCTTATTTATTAAGTACTTAATAAATATGCAAGACACTGCACTAGTTCTGGAGGAGCTTATAATTAAATGAGGGAGGAGAGACAGGCACAAATACATGGGAGATTGATAAGTATAAAGAAGAATCTAAGTAAAGTGCTGTGAGAAATTTGAAAAGGAGGTAGTATCTGAATAGAGCCTTGAAAGAAAGGAGAAATTTAAATAGATTTGGCATTGTGGGGGGTGGGGAGTTGGAGAAAATATATATTAGGCATTGAGACTACACATGCAAATGCACAGAAATGAGTAAGGGCGGGATGCAGATAGAGGATAGGAAGTAGTTCATGTTGGCTGGTTTGTAGCAGCATATATAAAGAGGGAAAACAGGTTGGAGCTTGATGTGGTAGTCTTGAATGCCAAGATAAGGTTGATACTCTGTAGAATTAAGTTTTTTTTTTTTTTTTTTTTGTGGCTCGGCAATGGGGTGAAGTGACTTGCCCAGGGTCACACAGCTAGTAAGTTCTATGTGTCTGAGCTTACATTTGAACTCAGGTCCTCCTGACTTCAGGGCCAATGCTTGATCCACTGCGCCACCTAGCTGCTCCTATGAAGTTTGTTTTTTAATGGAGGATAGCATAATCAAAATGTGTGCATTAGGAAAATTTGGGCAGCAATATGAAAGATTGGCTAGTGGTTCTTTGCCTTTTTGGCATGAAGATTCCTTCTTAATGTCAAATGATAGTAAGCATCTTAATGTCACTGATAGTAAGCATCTAATTAAGCATCTATTATGGGCCCAGCACTGTGTACTAAGGTGCTAAGGATATAAAGTACAAAGAAAGTAACAATCTCTGTGAGGAGCTTTCCCATTCTAATGAGAGAAACTAGTACACATAATAATATAGAGAGCATAATTATGCAGTTAATATATGCAGATATATACAGAGTAGTTAATATTTATTGATTGAGGGAATACATGACAAAAAGCTTTGAATTTAGTAATGCTTTTCAAAGGCTCATACATTTAGAGTTGGTAGGATTTTAATTGGGACTTGAAGAAAACCAGAGAAGCCAGGAGGCAGAGATGAGGAGGAAGAGCATTCCAGGCATGGGAGACAACCAGAAAATATGCTTAGAACCAAGAGATAGAGTGTCTTGTAAGAGGAACAGCAAGGAGGCCAGTGTCACTAGATCAAAAAGTATTTGGGGGGGGGGTTTGGGTTAATGAAGATTAGAAAAGTAGAGGTAGGGTAGAGCTAGGTTATCAAGGGCTTTGAATGTCAAATAGAATTTTATATTTGATTCGAGAGGTAATGAATGATACAGTCATGGTACAAAAATCACTTTGGCAGCTGAATGTTGGATGGATTGGAGTAGGGACAGATTTTGGCAGGCTGACAAATCAGCAGACTATTGCGGTAGTTTATGTGTACCGGGATAAGAGCCTTCACCAGGGTAGTGGGAATATTAGAGGAGAGAAAAGGATGTATTTGAGACATGTTGCAAAGGTGAAATTGACAGGCCTTGGCAACAGCTTGGATAAGGTGATGAGAGAGAGTGTGAAAAATCAAGGATGACACCTAGGTTTTAAGCCTGGGAGACTGAGTGGATGGTGTTGCCACTCTTTCCTACAAAGTGGCTCTTAGAGATGAATGGTAGATCTGGATACAGATAGTGAAAGTGTTAGTCAAAAGTGCTGAGTAGGAAGAAGAACTTGGGACATCATTCAGGAATAGTTTGTTTCCTGGATATGAAAACTTTTGTTTGACTTTTCCCTCCTAAATTAGAATCTATTTTGTTTTGTTTTTGTCACTGTAATTATCCACAGAGGAACTGACAGAAGTCTAATTTGGCTGATCAAAGAGTTGTGGGGGGGGAGATAGTGGCCAATGACTTTGGAAAGATAGGTTGTGTACCATGAAGTGAAGGTCTTTGAAAACTAAACAGAGGAGTTTATATTTTAACCATAGAAGCAATAGGAAGCGAGTGGAATTTTATATAGGGGTGTGATGTGGTCATAACTGTTTTTTTTGCAAAGTCACTGGTAGCTATGTGAAGGATAGAATGTAGTGAGAAAAAAACTTGAGGTAGGGAGACTAATTATAATTAGTAGGCTTTCCAAATTGTGGGGAGAGGTGACAGGGCCTGAACTAAGGTTCTGATTCTGTGAGTAGAGAGATTGGATGTGAAAGATGTTGTACACAAAGAAACAGTAAGATTAGATATGTGGGAACAATCAAGAATAATGTCAAGTTTACAAACTTACGATGGTGCCCACAACAGAAATAGGAAAGGTTTTGGAAGAGGGGTAGGTTTGGAGGAAAATGAGTCCTGTCATAGACATATTAAATTTAGAGAACATTGATTTGGGAATGACCAGTACACACTTTGCTGTAAGATTGGAGCTCTAGAAACAAATTAGTTGAGGCTGATAATGGAAATCTGCAGAGTTATAATAAATCCATGGGAGTAGTTGGGTTCCCCAGGATAAAACCTTGGGTTAAACCTACAATTGAGGGACATGATATGGATAGTAAGCCAACAAAGGAGACTGATAGGGAGGAAGAAAACAGAGAGAGTATTTTTGTGAAAACCCAGGAAAGAGTTAGAATATCTAGGAGAAGATGGTCAGTGATGTAAGATGCTACGGAGAAGTCAATAGAGATCTATACCCTACCTGGCAAGAGTCAGTCATCAGCCTTTGTATGAAGACCTTCAGTGAAAGCCAACTCCTGAGGTGTGTAACCTATTCTACTTTTAAAGCATAAAGCCATTTAATTGCTAGAAGATGTTTCCTTACTACTAGCTGAAGTTCTACTCTGCAACTTCCTTTGCTCCTAGTTTTGCCCTTTGGGGCCAAACAGAAAAAGTCTAATAGACCCTTTCTATGTAATAGCCCTTTATGTGTTTGAAGACAGTTATGCCCCTACTGCCCAAGTTTCCTCTTCTCCAGGCGAAAACCCCCCAGTTCCTTTAACCAGTTTTCACATGGCATAATTTCAAGGCTTTTCACCATCCTGTTTGCTTTCCTCTGGATTCTTTCCAGCTTATCAGTGTCTTTCTTAACTTATGGTATCCAGAACTGAATGCAATACTCCAGATATGGTGTGATGGCAGAATTGAACAAGATTATAACCTTCATTTGAACACAGTATCTTCCTTAATGAAGTCTCCATGTTGGTAAGAATCAGATCCAGAATAAGTTAATCTTTGCCATTTCTTTCAGCCTTTTGAAGGAGTAAATTATTATTAAGGCAAACCAAGAAGTTTTTTGAAGTTCTGTTTTGGGCAGAGAGAGCTTCTGCAAATACTTAGAAATTTGAAATCTCCTATCACTGTATTCTCTTGACTTGTGATATTTTCTCTCTCTACTTTGATATATGTCCCTAGTAAACTCTAACGACAGTATCACTTCTCTTAATCCCTTTGTACCCAAGTGCTCTTTGCTCTTTTCCCATCTTCTTTTTTCTGGATTTCTTCACAAGAATATACATGAGTCTTCTGCATATGTAGTGCTACTGCACTTGTGCCTTTTGAATAAGGTATTCCCTTTGATTGCCATATTCCAGTTATGGAGCACTTCCTGCCAAATCTCAGTGATTCATGTTAGGTTAGAGTTGGCTCTTGACACTAGCTTGGTCACTTTACTTGTTACTCATACTTTGTGTGTTTGTGTAAAGGCAGCTGAGGCCATAAGTTTTATTGAAGGCTGTTTTGAATAACAGGCTTTCTCTAGCTGTATTCGTTGTCTTACGTTGTAGAAACTCTTCAGAAACTTGGTAGACATACATATGTGTATATGTTTATGTATAATCGTATTTTTTCCTCTTTAAGCTCAAAATCCTTTTTATTGAATTATAAGACTCCAGGCAAATACATTCTTAGCAACATTTTATCTGCATGTTGTCCCTTGCCAAGAGTTCATTTCTGTATTTTAAGGTGTTGAGAAACCCAATACTGTTTACTCCTACATTTACGTCCTATTTGAAGCCCGTGCTTTCTTAAAACAATAGTGATGAAAATATCAAAAAGTCTTCAGTTTCTTGCCCAGGACTATTCATAATATTTAACAAAATGCTTTCAGCAATGCAATCCTTCTTTCATTTGTTTTACACAACCCTAAGTAGATAGTAGTCATCAATATTAACATTATCTTATAAAGTTTTTTGTCAGGTCTTGAATACTTGCTCATTGAAGATTGCAGATTTTTCTGTGGTCTTTCAGATGGGGAGTTAGTCACTAACCACCACTACTTGTCTCATCTTCCAGATAATCTCTGTCTTGATTACAACTATGGATACATATCATTGTTCCTTGTAAGAGAAGCAGCTGATTCTTTCTTAAAGGATCCAACTCCTTTTATGGGAAAAGCCTAATATCTTTACTGGGAGTGTTTAGCGGTCTTCTTGTCCAGCCTAGCCTGTGTCCTATTTTTCTACCTCCCGAAAAGTGGGCAAGAATCCCTTTTACCTCTTCAAATCCTTTCATTTTTGTTTTTATGTAAAAGCATTCTGTTTTAAAGGAAAACTTCTCTATGATAGATAACCTGGAGAGTAGGGAGATGATGGAAGAGCTGGAAGGTCATCTAGTTCAATCTTCTCATTTTACAGATGATGAATTGACCCCAGAGAAGTTAAGTGACTTGCCCAAGGTCACACAGATAATAATAAGGATATGGTATACCTCTAATTCCTTTACTCTGTCTTCTAGGAGGGAGACCAGTATACATTTTTTTAAGCCTTCATCTTTAAACTTTCATTCAACTAAGCATGCTTAGTGCTTAGCACAGTATCTGGCACATAGAACACAATTTGTTTGATAAATATTGATTGACCAGATAGATAGTGTGGTTATGTAAGCCTGTGGAACAGAAAAATTCTGTACCCGATAGGAAGGAACAAAGGAAACAAACACTTATTAAGCATCTACTCTGTGTCAGGAATATCTCATTTAATCCTCACAACACCTTTGGAGGTAGGTGCTATTATTCTCATTTTACAGTAGACCTCTGTCTACTGAGGTAGACAGAGGTTAAGTGATTTGGCCAGGGTTAGTAGTAAATTTAGCTAGTAAATCTCTGAGTTTGAATTTGAATTCAGGTCTTCCTGATTTCAGGTCCAGTGCTCTTATCTATTACTCCCCTAGCTGCACCTCCTGTACAGGTCATTCAGTCAAATGCCTATGTGCCAGACATTGTGTGCTAGATGCTGGGGATGAAACTACAAAGAATGAAATGAACTCTACTCACAATGAGTAGTCACATTCTAATGGAAGAAACAACAAATTCATATATAATACATATATCATAAATAACAAGTTAATAAATACAGACATTCACTCATGAGGACACAGACAAACATCCAAAATAGTTTGATATAAGGTACCATGGAAAGAAGGGTACTAGCATTTGTGGGGAATGGGGAAATGCTTCATGCACAGGGTATGTGAACTGCATCTTAAAGAGACTCTATAAGGAGGTACATTCCAGGCATGGGAAACAGTGAGTACATAAAGACTCTGGAATGTAGTGAATAAGAAATAGAGAAAAGGCTAATTTGGTTTCAATTGTAGAGTGAAGGAGAAAAAGTAAGGTACAACAAGGCCAGAAATGCAGGTTGAAGGTAGATTATGTAAGATTTTAAAATCTAAACAAAGGAGTTTATATTCTGGAGGCAATGGGAAATTGTTGGAGTTGATTAATTCAAGAGTCACATGGTCAGATATGTGTGTAAGGTAGCAGAGTGTAGAATGCACTAGAATTGAGAGATTTTAGACAGGAAAACCTGTTGCAGTGATCTTAGTGAGAGATGAAGAGAGCCTGAAACAATGTGGTGGCTGCACAAGTGGAAAGATGGGTCTGATGAAAGAGATGTTGTGAAGGTAGAACTGATTGGATAGGTAGAGTGAGGGAGAATGAGGAATTGAGGATAATGCTGAAATGGTGATTTGAAGAGAAGAAAGGTTTTGGGGGGCAGCTAGGTGGCACAGTAGAGAGAACACTATCTCTGAAATCAGGAAGATCTGAGTTCAGATCTAGCCTCAGACATTTACTAGCCGTGTGACCTTGGGCAAGTCACTTAACCCCAATTGCCTCACCAAAAAAAAAAAAGAAAAAGAAAAAGAAAGGAAACAAGAAGAAAGGTTTTTGGAGGAAGAGAATGAGTTAAGTTTAAATCATGTTGAGTTAAGCTCATGGGGTATTGGAGCTGGATATATAGATCTAGGCACAGGAGTGGGGAACCTACAACCTCAAGGACACATGTGGCACTCTAGGTCCTTGGGTGTGGCCTTTTGACTGAGTCCAAGTTTTACGGAACAGATCCTTTTATTAAGGGGATTTGTTCTGGGATTTGTTCTATTAAATTTGGATTCAATCAAAGGGCCGCACTTAAGGGCCTAAAGGACCACCTGTGACTTTGAGGCAGCAAGTTCCCTACCCCAGATAGGAGCTATCTGCGGACAGATGACAGTTAACTCCATATGTACAAGCTAGTGAGTTTAGCAAGCTACGAGATAGAGGAGAAAAGAAAAGGGCCAAGGACAGAAAAACCTTGAGGAATACTCACTGTTAGGTATCATTATGTGGGTAAGCCTGCAAAGGAGATGTCAGGTAGGAAGGATTTTTCCTGTTTTCCATGTTTTCTGGAAGTATGATATCCTTAGTTTCTTGTTATTTTTACCTACAGGTACCAGCCATTTCCCATGGTGAACAATTAATACACTTTGCTAATAAATTGTTGAAATTGAATTCCTTTTTCTTCTAAGAAATCATTTCTAGAATTTGTTGTGCTTCAGGGTTTTTTTTTGTGTTCTATTTAATATCAACAAATGCTCTATTTTCTAATAGCTTTTTCATATGTTTTATTTTCAGATCTTACATCAAAGAAGACTCTGTTTTGTAGACATTTTCATTTTCTTCAGAGCAATAAATTCCAGTATGGAGACCTAGAATTCTTAAAGGGACATAGTCTGAATCCTGGGAGGTAGTTTTGTGCTTGAATATAGATTAAATAATGAAGGATGATTTAAAAGTACCTTTTCAGAGTTAATGATGCATTACACATCTATACAATAATTTCTTGATAGGGCAACAATTTTTAAGCATATAGAAAAAAACTGTAAGGTTTTTCTGTAACTGTTTGTGACCTAGTATATCCTTAGGTAAAAATGGCAGCACTCTATATATGTGGTCCCCAGATGAACATGCTATAATTTAATTTTTTAAATGTAAAGAAAAGTTTCTGTTATAGAAATTAAATACCTTTTTGAAGTTTGTAGGCAAAGTGTAACATCCAGTGGTTCTAAATTGTAGAAAATTTGAGTGCCAGTTATAGTGAAGTAGAAGAGTAACAAACACTGTAAAAACACTGAATGAATCAGCAACATTTTACTTCAAAACAGAAGAATCAGTACTTGGGTGCAGTTTAGCAAGTGACAAGATACAGAAGGAAAGCAAAATTTGGTCACATGAAATCATATCTATATTCAGTGTACAAATTTGTGTGTGTTGGGCTTTGAAAGTGAAGTTAAAGAATATTAGATTGTAAAGCATTCCATTAACTTTTCAAGCACCACCTCAATTTAGCAATATAATTTAAAATATTTCTAACACTATAAAGTTGATTTCAAGTATTTAAGATATTTTTCATTCTTTGTAAAATGGCTTTAGGAAAATAAGTGTTAACTAGGATCTAAAGCAATTATTTTTTTTCTTTAGTATAGTACATATTTTTTAATGATCAAAGCAAAAGCAAAAAGCAAAAAGCAAAGATAGGTAATTTGAGTTTTCTCCAACTTAAGGTTTTTGAAATATAGAAATATACATATGTATATGAACACAGATGTGCATTTAAGGTACACATCTTTAAAAATACATCAACTTTCAGTCCATTGAAGTAGCATTGTAATAAACGAGGGACGTGATGATAAAATAGCACCCTGTAAGCCTGAAAGAGTTAATTAAATCCAAAATACAGTAGTAGACGCCTTTGAAGTGACCAGGGAGAATTACTGTACTTCTTACAGAGGTCACTTGATGTAATTCTAATGCTGGACATCCAATAACGCACATAATTTACTCAGATCTCTGTTTCAGTGTAAGATGAAAAAGTACACTTGTATGTTTTTAGCTAAATGTATAAGTAATATTACAAACCCACGCACAAAACTACCTCCCAGAGAAAGACTTGTCCCATTTTATTCCCTAAATACTCAATTATGAACGCAGTAGAGGACGGTGTGCTGTTATCACGTTTGATGAATAGTGACGCACATGAAATGAAATACGATTTGTCATGTGAACTCTACAGAATGTCTACATATTCTGCTTTCCCAGTCAATGTTCCAATCTCAGAAAGAAGTCTTGCTCGGGCTGGATTTTATTACACTGGTGTGAATGACAGAGTTAAATGTTTCTGTTGTGGCTTAATGCTGGATAATTGGAAACAGGGAGACAATGCTATTGACAAACATAAACAGCTATATCCTAGCTGTGCCTTTATTCAGAATTTGATTGCAGTTAATCTGGGATCTTCTCAGTCTACATTTTCTTCTTCTATGAATAATGCCACTCGTTCATTATCTTCCAGTTCAGGACAGAGTGGATATTTCAGTGGTTCTTATTGCAGTTTTCCGTTGGAGCCCGTGAATTCCAGAGCAGCTGAGGACTTGTCCCCTTTGAACAGCAGCCCCTACAGTTATTCAATGAGTACTGAAGATGCCAGAATTCTTACTTATCAGACATGGCCATTGACATTTCTGTCACCATTAGATCTGGCAAGAGCTGGTTTTTATTACATAGGACCTGGAGACATGGTAGCTTGCTTTGCGTGTGGTGGGAAACTGAGTAATTGGGAACCAAAAGATGATGCCATGTCAGAACATCGGAGACATTTTCCTAACTGCCCTTTCCTGGAAAATCAAATCCAAGAAACATCAAGGTTCAGTGTCTCTAATTTGAGCATGCAAACACATGCAGCCCGTGCGAAAACCTTTGTGACATGGCCACCTCAAATTCCAGTTCATCCAGAGCAGCTTGCAAGTGCTGGCTTTTATTATGTGGGTAAGAAACCTGAGTAGAAGAAATATTTGTAAGTCTTAGTCATTAAATTTTCATCTGTAAATTATAACTTAATGTGCACATTCAAGTTTTGGTTCACTTTTTTTTGTTAGGTCGAAATGATGATGTCAAATGCTTTTGCTGTGATGGTGGACTGAGGTGTTGGGAATCAGGAGATGATCCTTGGGTGGAACATGCCAAATGGTTCCCAAGGCAAGTACTCTGATGATTGCTTCACTCAAGATTTCTGTTAAGAGAAGTAGGCTTACTTAAATGATCAGATTAAAATACAAATTACATTAAAGCTTCATGTACATATTATGGTTGAAATAACCAGATTAGTTATGTGTGTTTTTTTGAAATTGATTTTATTTACAATTAATTTAATTGATTTTTTTCTTGTAACTGCCTGAGTCATGATTTGTTGTCTCTGAACTTAATTAAAAAATTCACCTGTCCTATAATGAGTTAAGTTTAAAAGTCCAGTTCTCCTGTTATTTCTGAAGGATGTCTGTTTTGTTATCCAAGGAAGGTGGGTGCACTATTTCTAACCTGGCAGATGGATTCAAACAGTGAACTTTCTTAGTCACAGGACTGGGTTGTTGCGAGCTCTCATTCCCAATTTCCATCCAATCATATTTCCTTACATCTATGATTCTAGTGTCCCCAAAACAATAAAAGAGCTGACCCCCTCATTTGGAGTCTTAGTTTAGCTAAGGAAGCTGAGATCCTATCTGTTGGTAAATTCATACTTTTCTACTAAATTGATCATGCTCAGTTCTTTGTACTGCAGTCTACCTTAATTTTAGCTGTTAACATGATGAAGGAATTGTGGGTGTAAGTTTTCCAAACGATTGAATTTTACCACACAGCAATCATTTTCCATCTAAATCATTCTTTTTGGAAATCTTCCTAAAATATGACATTATTTGTTATGACAGGAAGCTAATAATACTAAATATAATTAAATTGCTTTTTAAATTTCAGGGTAGTCTTGATTTGTACTGTGCTGTAATGCAGTGGTTCTGTAAGACAGTGTTGTTTGCTTCTTTACTGTTTTGCCCCAAACTGCTATGTTGTGTGTCAGTTGTTATTTCTCTGACATTTTGAATGTATGTGCCCACCTGTTGATTGTTTGCTGTAACTTAGGACAACTGAATTAGTGGCATTATGATGTGGTGGAAAAACACTGATCCTAGAGCTAAGAGAACTGGGTTCTCCTCAACTAGTTTTGTGATGTTGGGCAAGTCAGCCTCTAGGTCTCACTTCCCTCATCACTAAAATGAGTCTAGATTACATTGTTTATAGTAATGACTTTTTTCTAGACTTTTCTTGAATATATTTGTGGTTTTTATTTAAAATAACCCATAGATATTAACATTTGTTCTTAAATATTTAGCTGAATTTGTCATCTTACTGGTATTGAGTATACTAGTGTAGATCACAAACCATGTCTTCTTATAGTATACAATTGTAGTTTGTCTTTGGGTGAATCCTCTCCAGAGTATGGTGATTGTGAAGAAAGTGCTTTATAAATCTCAAAGCACTATTTAAATAAGTGAATTAGTATTTTTACTATGAATAATGCCATGAATTGGGTTTAATTTAGAAGCGGCTATCTAGCAGTTTGCCAACTAGAAAGTTCTCAAAATTGGCATTTTTAATGCTCTTCAGTAAAAATATAGTAATTGGCACTGATGACAAAACTAGCTAAAATAGAATGGTTGGATTTTATGGGGTTTAGATTGCTGAGGTGTTATTTATTGCTACTGCTTATTGTGAAGGAAAAGAAAAACCTCTTCATAGAATAAATCACTGCCTGTTTACCTAGTAGACTTAAGGAATTAGGAGCTAATTACTGTTTAACTGGAATTTGAAATGAATTTTTTTTCCTCTTAGTCTACTGTCATTCTACAGATGAGGAAGTTAAAGGTCTAAATACTGTTCATATCTTCTAAATAGCTTCAAAACTTTTTTAAGAAGGAAATTGCTCTTATAGCTGCAGCAGCCTTCCAGGGGGGAAATTTATATTTTAGACTACTTCTTTTTCAGGACTTATTGCTTGTTACAACAATATCTCTACATTATTTTTCCCTTCTCTTTTTTAGTGATAAAGGCAGGTAAATTGTGAAAGTAAATATAATAAAAAGGTGACTTTAAAAATTAATTGTGTGGTAGAAATTGATATAATTCCAGGTTAAATCTTTTCCAAAAATTGGGGTTGGCATGCATATCAGTTATATCAGTAGTTGAGTAGCTTATCCTGGCTCCTATTGATTTTTAAGAGAGAGAGAGTGTGTGTGTGTGTGTGTGCACGCACGCACGCGCATGTATGCATGTATATAATAATATAATTAATTAAATTAACAATTAAAATAATCAATATTACATATTTTTATACATAGCCTACCATCTATGGACCTCACTACCTCTATTTAAAGAAGTGGTTAACAGGCAACTGATTTTCCACTAGATCCATGGTGTTCAATTCAAATAGAAACAGAGGGTGTCCAGATTAATGGGAATGGGATAAAGAGGGAATAACATATTTGGAAGGCTATAAAAGTTTTGTAAATTCAGTTAGAAACAAGAGAGAAAGGGGAAAGGGTGGTGGGGAGAGAATAAGGAAGGAATCTTTGGAGGTAGAATTGGTTAAGTACTAAGAGGACAAGGTAGCAGGTAGAAGTAAAATAGAGGAGTCAGGAGGGATAGGAAATAAGAGATACACAAGTATAAAATAAAGATCAAGAGTAGAATTTATTAGGAAAAAAAGTAGGGGTGGTAATCATGATTTTAGACAGCGTTAAAGCTAAAATAGATTTACTCAAAAGAGAAAAATAGGGAAACTACACTATATGTCAGCCATATGAATTAATAATGTTTTAGAGTAGACTATTTAAAATAACTAGATAGTGTAAGGTTGGGAATATTGCTGTGGTGTAGGAAATGATGATCTGTCAGACTTAGAAAAATATGGTAAGACTTGAACTTATGAAGGAAGTTGTTATCCACCCTCAGAGAAAAAAAGGACAAGCAAGTATAGTATGGTCTTAACATAGATGGGTATGAATGTATATGTCTATATATGAGTATAATTATTGATATCTGTGTATATGTGTGTATATGTATACATTTTTATGTATCTATACACATATATGTCTGCTTAATTGTGTCTTCCTTGAGAGATGGGGAAAAAGGGGGAAAAAAAGAACAAAATAAAAAGTGCACAGCAGAGAACAAAAGAAAACTTACAAGGAAGCAAAGAAAAGATGGACAGCTCTGAACACAATGTAGTATTTATTATATAGGCTTTTTTGAAATGGAAATTTATTGCTGTATATTTTGAATCCTCTCATATGTTCTGCTGTGTGTACATGGCAATGCTTTTTTCCTTCTCTTATTTTGTATAAAAGTTTTAATATTAAGTTTATAATGTTTTTCTTTTCTTATTGTGTATTTAAGTTTAAAATAAATTAATTTAAGAAAAAGAAAAAAAAAACAAATAGAAACAGATTCCTCTGGGCCACATATTGACTTTTGTTGTTGTTGTTCAGTTGTGTCTGACTCTTTGACTATAGCATTCCAGGTCCTTCTTTCCTCCCCTGTCTCCCAAAGTTTGTCCAGGTTCCTGTTTGTTGCTTCCTTAATGCTCTATCCATCTCATCCTCTGCTGTCCTCTTTTTCTTTTGTCTTCAATCTTTCCCAACATCAGGGTCTTTTCTAATGAATCCTGTCTTATTATGTGGCCAAAGTATATAAGCTTCAGCTTCCATATTTGACTAGTTTAAATTAATTTCTTTAAGTACTGACTGATTTTTTAGCTATGTGGCGCAGTGGATTAGAGCAGAGGGTCTGAAGTCAGGAAGACCCGAGTTCAAATTTTGCCTCTGAGACTTACTAGCTGTGTGACTGCCAGCAAGTCACTTAACCCTGTTTGCCTCAGGTTCCTCACCTGTAAAATGAGCTGGAGAAGGAAATGGAAAACCACTCTAGCATCTTTGCCAGGAAAAACCCAAATGGGATCATGAAGAGTTGGACGCAGCTGAAAAAACTGAACAATAACCCCACTGACTGATTCTGTTGTTTTGCTGTCCAAAGGACTCTCAAAAGTCTTTGTTAGCACCATAATTCAAAAGTGTCAATTCTGTGGCACTCAGCTTTTCTTGTAGTCCAACTCTCACAGGCATACATTGGTACTGGGAAAAATCATAGATTTGAGTATACAGACATTTGTTGGCAAGGTGATGTCTTTGCTTGTTAGTATGCTGTCCAAATTTGTCATAGCTTTCCTTTCAAGGAGCAAGTGTCTTTTAATTTCATGGCTGCAGTCATCATCTGCAGTGATTTTTTTAGCTCAAGAATATAAAATCTGACACTGCTTCAATTTCTCTTCTCTTGCCAAGATCTTAGTTTGTTTCGACGTTAAACTTCAAGTCAGCTTTTACCCTCTCCTCTTTCATCCTCATCAAGAGGCTTCTAAATTCTTCACTTTTTGCCATCAGAGTGGTATTGTCTGCATATCTAAAATTGTTGATATTTCTCCCAGCAGCCTTAATTCCAGCTTTTTGATTTGTCCAGCCTGGCATTCTGCATGATGTATTCTGCATATAAATTAAATAAGGTGACAATATATAGCCTTGTCATACCCCTTTTCCAATCTAAACCAACTGGTGGTTCCATGCTCAGTTCAAACTGTTGCTTCTTGGCCTGCATACAGGTTCCCAGGAGACAAGTAAGATGATCTGGTACTCCCATCTCTAAGGACTTGACACATTTTGTTGTTATCCACACAAAGGCTTTAGTGTAGACAGTAAAGTAAAAGTAGATGTTTTTCTGGGACTCCCTTGCTTTTCTCCATAATCCAGCTACTGTTGGCAGTTTGATCTCTAGTTCCTCTGCCTCTTTGAAAACCAGCCTGCTCTTCTGGTAATTCTCAGTTCACATATTGCTGAAGCTTGGCTTGCAGAATCTCAAGCATAACCTTACTGGCATGTGAATTGAGCATAATCATTCAGTAATTTGAATATTTTTTGGTCTTGCCTTTCTTTAGCATTGGGACATAAACTGATGTTTTCCAATCCAGTGACCACTGTTGTTTTTGCTGGCATATTGGGTGCAGCACTTTAACAGCATCCTCTTTTAGGATTTTAAGTAGCTTACCTAGAATTCTCCACTAACTAGCCTTTTTGTTAGCAATGCTTTCTAAGGACCACTTCACTTCATTCTCCAGGATGTATGGCTGTAGATAAGTAACCACATCATTAGGATTATTGGTGATCTTTCTCGTATAGTTCTGTGTATTCTTGCCACCAACTGATTCTCTTTTATTTCTCTTAAGTCCCTGCCATTTTTGTCTTTTATCATGCCCATTTTTTTCATGAAATGTTCCCTTAATATCTCTAATTTTTTTTTTATGGTTTTTTTCCAATTATATGTAAAGACAATTTTTACCATTTTTTAAAAATTTTGAGTTCCAAATTTTTTTCCTCTATCCCTCACTACCCTTCTCCCTAAGATAGTAAGCAATTTGACAAAGGTTATATACATGCAGTCATGTAGAATATATTTCCATATTAGTCATGTTGTGAAAGAACAAACCAAAAGCAAAACATGAAAAAAATAAAAGTGAAAAGAGTATACTTCAATCTGCATTCAGACTTCCATCAGCTCCTTCCTTATATCTCTTTTAATTAGATCTGTTTTTGTTTTTGCTTTGTCTGAGATCAGGATTGCTACCCCTGTTTTTTTTTACTTCAGCTGAAGCATAATAGATTCTGCTCCAGCCCATTGTCTTTAATTTACTCTGTGTGTGTCTCTCTGTTTCAAGTGTGTTTCTTGTAAACAACATATTGTAGGGTTCTGGTCCACTTTCATTTTATGGGAGAGTTCATCCCATTCACATTCACAGTTATGATTATTAACTATAATTCCCTCCATCCTATTTTTCTTCTTTGTCCTCTCTTTTTTCATCCTTTCCCTCCTCCTCAGTGTTTTGCTTATGTCCACCACCTTCTCCAATCTGCCTTTCCTTCTGTCAGTTCACTTTCCACCCTACTTAATCTCCTCCCTTCCTACTTCCCTGTAGGGTAAGATAGATTTCTATATTCAACTGATTGTGTATATTATTCCGTCTTTGAACCAGTACTGATGAGAGTAAGGTTTAAGTGATGCCCATTGTCCACCCTCCCATCTTTCTCCACTATAATAGGTCTTTCGCACTTCTTCATGTGAAATCATTAACCCCCTTCTTTCTTCTGCACCCAGTGTACTCCTCTTTCTTATCCCTTAATTATTCTTTGTTATTTCTTCAGATTTACCTTATACCTGTATCCTCTGTCTACGTATATTCCTTCTAGCTGTACTATTAGTGGTACAATTTTTAAGAATTACAAGTATCATTTTCCCATGTAGGACAGTTTAGCTTTGTTGAATCCCTTATGTTTTCTTTTCCCATTTTACCTGTTTATGTTTCTCTTGGATCTTAATATTACCAAACCAAATTTTTGGTTTAATTCTGGTCTTCTCTTTACGAAAGCTTGAAATCCTTCTATTTCATTGAATGACCATTTTCCTGTTGATGTGTTATGCTTAATTTAGCTGGGTATGTGATTCTTGGTTGTAGTCTTAGCTCCTTTGCCTTCTGGAATATTATATTCTGTGATCTCTGATCTTTTAATGTTGCAGCTGCTAAATCCTTTGTAATCCTCATTATGGCTCCCCAATATTTGAATTGTTTCTTTCTAGCCACTTGTAGTATTTTTTCTTGTTCTGATCTGAAATTTGGTTACAATGTTGTTTAGAGTTTTTATTTTGGGATCTCTTTCCCAAGGTGATTGGTGGATTCTTTCAGTGCCTGTTTTGCCCTCTGTTCCAGGATAACAGGACAATTTTCCTTGATAATTTCTTGAAAGATGCTGTCCATGTCCTCTTTTTGAATCTGGCTTTCAGGTAGGCAAATTATTCTGACATTGTCTCTCCTAGATCTATTTTCCAGGTCAGTTGTTTTTTCCATGAGGTGTTTTATATTTTCTTCTATCTTTTCATTCTTTTGAATTCATTTGATTGATTCTCATAAAGTCTCATAGAGTCATTAGCTTCCACTTGCCCATTTTGAACTTTTAGGGAGTTGTTTTCCTCAATTAACTTTTGTACTTTCTTTTCTATTTGGCCAATTCTGCTTTTTAAGCAATTGTTTTCTTTTTCCAAGCAATTGACTCTGTTTTCATAATTCTCTTGTATCACTCTCATTTTTTCCCCCAATTTTTCTCCTGCTTCTCTTAAATGATTTTTAGTCCCCTTTTGAGCTCTTCCATGAGTTCTTTCTGAGCTTGAGACCACTTCCCATTTTACTTTGGGGTTTTGCCCATAGGAGTTTTGATATTGTCCTCTTCTGAGTTTGTCTTGATCTTCCCTGTTACCTTAATAACTTTCTATGATCAGATTCTTTTTTTTTTCTCATCTTTTTTGGCTTTTTTCTTTTAAATTTGATCTCTGTATCTGGGGTAAGGGGCACTGCCTCAGGCTTCTTGTGGCCTGTTCACCTGGTACTGCAATGATGTTGCCTTGAGGCCAACGGGGGATCTTCGTATCTGGTGCTGTGCTGAAGGGGTAGGGTGGGGGGTGGCTGGTGCTACTGGAGGCCTTAGGGGTCTGGCAGCTTACTTGTTGCTAAGTTGGAGTCCTAGTGGTGGTGTCTGGTGTGTGCTGAGGCTCGTGAGGTGTTTCAGCATTTCCCCGGGGATACATTGAAGCACATGCTGGTCTGGTTGCTGGAGGTTGCCAGTTTGCCCAGGGCTAAGCTGAAGCAATGTTGCTTCTCAAAGCTGGAGTCTTCCAATTCCTTTGGTTATTCTGAGGCATGTGGGGGATCCTGGTGTTGGTATTGCCTGCTCCACTGCATGGGGGCTCAGGATCTACTCCTGGTTTGTTGAAGTGGGGCTTGCTGGGATGATTCCTGTCCTGGACTGCATTCTCCCTTTGCCCGAGTGAGATAGATCTTTCCTGCTGATCTTTCAAGTTTCTTGGGTTCAAAGATTGTTTCGAGATTGTTTCACTCTGTCTTTTTGTTGCTTCTACTGTTGCAGGATTTGTTTTGGGGTACTATTATGGTAGTTTGGAGGTGAATATGGGAGAGTTATGGTTACCTACTACTACTCCATTGTCTTGGCTCCTGGATGTCCTTGACTACTCTTTGGAATCTCTCCAGCTTATGGATGTCATTCATGAATTTTTGGCTGGAAATAAATACTAAATGCTAAAGATTTCATCTTTTAAAGTGAAACATACCTCATAATACAAATTATTATGTACATTACTGGTCTGAAACACTTAATCCTTTTTTTAAAGATCCAGGTTAGACCTAAGAAGTAAATTGTTTGGAAGAATCATATCTTGTCTTTTTATGAAACAAAATTTTTAAATGTTCTTTTCTCTTAATCTTTTAGGTGTGAATATTTGATACGAATGAAAGGACAAGAGTTTGTTGATCAAGTTCAAGCCAGGTACCCTCATCTCCTTGAACAGGTAAAAAAGAGTTATTGTAATTGCCTGTACTGATAGTAATTCTTTTTTTTTTTAAAGTGAGGCAGTTGGGGTTAAGTGACTTGCCCAAGGTCACACAGCTAGTACGTGTCAAGTGTTTGGTCTGAGGCTGCATTTGAACTCAGGTCCTCCTGATTTCAGTACCAGTGCTCTATCCACTGTGCCACCTAGCTGCCCCCGATAGTAATTCTTAACTGATGATTATGAAACTGTATGATTTGATGTTTTTTAGAGAAAAATCAACGATATTGTTACATTTGTGCTTTGAGCCCTTAGAACATGCAAAGCCTCCTTCATGAATATGTAAGAAATTGAGAGATCATTTTAACTATCTTCACTGGAAAAACCAAGTGAATGAAAATTGCATATTTCCCCAGGTGACAAATAATTGGGAAGGCAGTCCATTGAATCAATCATTATTTATAATTCAGAGAAATGCTCTAGATGGTCATTGAGCTGGGCTTACAATTGAATAGTGGTACTAATTGAATAGTAGGAGCAGGAGATTAGACTGAATTGCACAGAACTTTCAATAATTCCAAACTGTTTATTCCCACAAAAATGTATGTCTGACACTAGTACTATGAGGTACCACAAACTCATAAGAATAAAAGAGTGCAAGTGACCTAGGGGAAGATGCACAGCAAGTATAAGTAGTCTGTTAGCCTATTATCAGTGATTAATTGCTATGAACCATGACATAAAAGTTTATTATAAAGGACATGTAAAATTGGAAAATTAAGTAGCCTTAGGAGCAAATACACCTTGAGTGGTACATTGGTATCCTTGATATTTAAAGGATTAAAGAAAGATCTCCAGCTTATTGGGTGAATGGAGTGGGGGGTAAAAAAAAAGACATGAAAGAGACCCACACAGTATGAGAACGTGTGAGAAGGTTCAAGATACATGCAAGTAGAGAGAGTACACATATTTACATTTTGTCATTTTTTTTAAGTTAGAGTTCTAAAATATGAATCTTAGAAGGTAAAGACATACTGATACATCCATTATACATCTTACAATGAGGCATAATAGTTTTTTTAAGGGGACCACTCAGAGAATAGGCTAACTTAAAAATTTTTGTGGAGACTGGAGAAAGGATTTTAGTACTTCCCTCGTCTTTTTTAGAAAAATAAATTTTAAAATATTTCTAATTTGGTGGAGGAGTTGAAATGTTGGTCCAAATGAATGTATGATTTAAAGAATACATTGCTAGATGGATGATTTCATCAACATTGAGTATACTTTTCTCAGATCTTCATACCTTAAGTAACAGTCTTCATTAGTTGCGTCAAAAATATACATCACTTGATGGTTTTCTATTTCCATACATTGGTTGGTCCCTAGATGACACAAAATCTAACTTTGGACAGAAATTAGAAGGCTGTCTTAACTTAGACCGTCCAGGGCTTTTGTTCTGTTGGTGTAGCCTTTGACTATCCAGGATCATGCCTTACGTTACCCTGATGCATTAGAGTGAGAGTTTTCTGGAAGCTATTATATAAGCCAGTTAAATAAGACTTGCTAAGCTTAATGGAAAATATTGTTATACTTTTAATTTTAGCCTCTTGCCTGCTTTTAACTAGAAGGAGAGCCCCCCCCAAATTCTTTTCTCTGCAGGGTATTTAGTCTTACCCTTAGCCCTGCCTATAATTGGGTTAGTTAAAAATAGCTGTAAATGGGATCATATGATAGAATTCAGCATTTATTATCTGAGACACACATATTGACTTATAAACATGTAATTTTTAAAAAGTTTTATTGTGGTTTAAATTTTATTAGCTCAGACTTTTGGGACACTGCGCGTGCGTGTGCGCACACACACACACACAAAATATACTGTTGTATAGGTTTTGCCAAAATTTGATGTGTACTGAATTCTTATCATTTTTGCTACATGCAGATAATGTGAAATTTATATTGATTCCTGTTCTGTCTTCTTTTCTGTAGTTGTTGTCAACTTCAGATGTTCCAGGGGACGAAAGTGCTGATCTACCAAGTATGTGAAATAATACTTTGAATTTATATAAGGAAGACTTAGCAAAAAAATAATAAGAATGAAAGTAACAGAATTGTGAAATTAATTTAAAAAAAGATGAATCAGGCATGGAGTTTTGATTATGTATTGTATTCTGCATGTGGCATCGGACTCTTTGATTGGGTGAATACAGAGAAGTATAAGACACTGACCTGGCACCTAAACTACTTATATTGTAGCTGGGGAGACAAAACACAAATACACAAAGATATCATCTATTATTTTGTATTGTTAGCTAAGCCTCAGATTAATGGTATAGACACATTAAGGAAAAATGAATAAGTTATTTCTAAGGAGATAGTGATTGTAAAATGAATTTTCACTTTTTACCAAGTTATGTAAAGAATTGCATAAGATGTCATATGTTTTGTATTTTGAATGCAAGGATAGGAATTTTTCCTTGTACTTATTATAGAAATCCACCTCTAGCAATGTCTGTTTTAAATAGTACATTAAAAATTAAAGTTTGGACAGTGAACATTCGATATCTTTTCCACTCTCCTCAGGTTCCTGAACTTACTTGCTCCTTTCCTTACTCATAGCCGATGACTTTGTCTTCTCTTTTACTAAGGTGATCTAGGCTATTCAATGAATTGTCCCTAAGACAGTCTTACAGTAGAACAGTAGATTTGGAGTGAGAGAATCTGGGTTCAGAATCAGACTCTGATATATGTATGACCTTGGGCAAGTCACTTAACCTCTGTTAGCCAAAATTTCATCTGTCAAATGGAGATAATAATAAGACTTACCTCTCAGGGGTTGGTGTGAGCTTCAATTGAGATTATATTTGTAAAGTACTTAGCACAAAGCCTGACACATAGTAAGTATTAATATAAACGTTAGCTATTGTTATCATTATCATCATCATTGTCATTATTATTTACTTCATGAGTGAATCGGTAATTTATGAATTGGGGGCAGGCATGTCCAGTTCTTTGAGTATTCACTGGGAAAGTCTGCAATGGTGGTGGGAAGTGAGGCTGCAAACACACTTCAATAATAAGCTTGTAGGGCATGGGGGCAGAAAGCACATCATGGCAGAGACAAGCAATGAAAGGGGTATGGTGTGGGGATGGGATGGAATGGTGGAGGAAGGCAGGCAGTGTGGAGAGGAAGATGGGGAGGGCAGAAAGGCACAATCACTTATATAACCATGGGTTAGCATGGGGAGCACTTAGCAGCATGGACCCCATGGAAGAGTGCTTGGGTGGGGGCAGGAGTTTGAGGTCGGAGTTTTGTAAGTTTTTTTTGGGTGGGGGGAAATGGACTAACTCTTTTCCAGAGTTAACCTGTTAAAATATCCAGGTCATTTCAGAATTGCTAGTAAAACTTTAAAGCTAACATGTCCATATTGCCTCAAAATTATCAGTACCTTTTGGTGTTTTGTGGATGTCTAGAACTTGTCTGAGATTTACATTGTCTATTTCGCTTCTACTGTTTTGGCACATATCATTACCAGAATGTGAATTTGGTTAATATATAATACAATTTGTAAATTATGTTCCTTTGATATTTGGGACAGTTTGTGTGTGACTTCCAGGTTCCCCAATGCAATCTTATTTCCTGCTGTTGTTCCTTTATACTAGCTACTTATTATACCATATTGACTAGAAGTGGGGTGAGGTGGTCAGGAGGACCAGAACAAGAAATAATTTTAACACAGTGACCTTGAGCAAATAACTTTATACCTCTTTGGACCTTAATTTCCTCATCTATAAAATGAGACAGACTAGACGATTTCCAAAATCCCTTTAAGCTCTGAATACTGTAAGTTTTTGTTGTCTTTGCACTACCACAAAACTTCTTTATATCCTTCACTCTTCTGTTCTTCCTTCTTTCCTCTCTCTAAAGTATTCTCTTTTCTGAGGCTAACCTGTGCTTTTCCACTTGTGTTTTTGGTTCTACTGTCTCAATCAGGATCTTGACATTTTATTGTTCTTTCTGCTTTTCTATCTTCAGTCTTTATCTCTTCCATGAGTACTCTACCTAAAAACATGTTGCAGGTCTTGACTTGAGTGCTCACCCCCTAAAAAATGCCTTCCTCAGCCCAGCCTATTCCTCCAACTATTATTCCATCACTTTCTTTTTGCTTTTATTACTATTATTTTTTTAAAATCCTGAACTTAAAACATTAGAGCACTTCCATACATTCAAACACAAAGAACACACAAAAGGGTTCTTTATAAAACTGATTTTCCATTCACACTACTTGCTTTTTTAAAAAAAAGTACATAAATTCCAAATGTTACTTTTCAAGTTGCCCTGCTTCTTCTCTGCTTCCTTCTGAGCATCCTTTTCTTTGCATTTAAAAAAGTTGAAGTGGTTCCTCTTTTTTTTCTTTTTTGGTCATCACTGTGCCTGCTTGTCTCCTTCTAATTAAGAGAAAGAAAGTGGAGGGAGGGGAAAGAGAGAAACTCTTGTAACATATAAGTAGCCAGACAAATTTAATCTACACAATTAGCATGTCCAGAAATTTATGTCTCTTTGACATGTGTCAGGAAGTGGGTAACATGTCTCATCATACATCCAAAGACATGTTTGACCTTGCCTTTTTTTTAATAAGAAAATGTTCATGTTTATTGATAATTTTCTATTTCACAATAAAAATATTTTTTAAAAATATAACATATAAATGACATGTGTAAGGTTATATGGCTGGTAGGCAGTGTCACTAGGAAGACAATCCAGGTTTTCTGACTCCTTAGTTCAATGCTCTTTCTACTACACCAGACACCTTGCCACATAATCAATTTGTGGTTGCAACAGTTTTTTTCCTCCAGTTTTTTTTAACATTTTCATTTGAAGTTTTGAGTTCCAAATTCTATCCCTCCCTCCTTTCACTCCCTCTCCCTTCTCTGAGAAGATAAGCAATCAGATATAGGTTATACATGTGCTGTTATGTAAAATTTTCCACATTAGTCATTTTAGACAAGAAGATTCAAATAAAATTTAAAAAAAGAAAGTAGAAAATACCATGCTTTAGTCAGTATTCAGTCAATATCTATTCTTTCTCTGGAGGTTGATAGTATGCTTCATTAGTCCTTTGGGATTGTCTTGCTGAGAATAACCAAGTCATTCATGGTTCTTCAACAAACGATATTGCTATTGGTGTGTACAATGTTCTCCTGGTTCTGTTCCCTTCACTATGTATCAGTTCCTGAAAGTCTTTCCAGGTTTTTCTGAAATCATCCTGCTTGTCATTTCTTATAGCACTGTAATATTCCATTACAATCACATACCACAGCTTGATGGGCATGCCTTTGATTTCCAATTCTTAGGTACCAAAAAAGAGCTGCTATAAATATTTTTGTACAAATAGTTTTTTTTTCCCTTTTTTTTAGATGTCTTTGGGATATAGACCTAGCAGTGGTATTGCTAGATCAAAGGGTGTGTACCATTTTATGCCCTTTGGGTATAGTTCCCTTCTCAGAACTAGATAAATCTGACCAAAAAATAAACAAGAAAGAAGTTAAGGAAGTGAATAAAATTCTAGAAAAGTTTGATATGATAGATGTCTGGAGAAAAATTGAAGTATAGTTTTATTATCTATTTCCTCCTATAACTTATTCAACTTTTCCAAAAATTTAGATGCTATACCATTTGGTACCTATATGTTTAGTATTGATATGACTTCATTTTCTATGGTACCTTTCAGCAAGATATAGTTTCCTTTTTTATCTTTTTCACTTAGATCTATTTTTGCTTTTCCTTTGACTGAGATCATGATTGCTACCCCTGCTTTCTTGGCTTCAGCTGAAGCATAGTAAATTCTGTTCCAGCCCCTTACCTTTATCCTATGTGTATCTCTCTGCTTCAGATGGGTTTCTTTTCTTTTTTTTTTTTTTTTTTTGCAATTGGGATTAAGTGACTTGCCCAGGGTCACACAACTAGTGTGTGTCAAGTGTTTGGTCTGAGGCCGGATTTGAGCTCAGGTCCTCCTGACTTCAGGGCCAGTGCTCTATCCAATGTGCCACCTAGCTGCCCCCAGATGTGTTTCTTGTAAACAACATATTGTAGGATTCTGGCTTTTTATCCATTCTGCTCTCTGCTTCTGTTTTATGGGTGAATTCATCCCATTCACATTTTTTGTTATGATTAATATTTCCCTCCATTCTGTTTTTCACTTGTTTATCCTCCTCTCTGTTACCCACCACCTTTTCTCTCCTCACAAGTATTTTACTTCTGATCACCACCTTCCCCTGTCTACCCTTCCTTTTATCAATTCCCTCACCCCTTCTATTATCCTTATCCTTTTTAAAAAATTCTTTAGAGGGTAAGACAGATTTCTATATCCAACTGAGTATGTATGTTATTCCCTCTTTGAGCCAGTTTTGATGAGAGTAAGGTTTAAGCTTTGCCCGCCACCCTGCTCCCCATCCCCATCTTCCTCTCCATTATAATTGCTGTTTCATGTGGGATAATTTACTTCATTCAATCTCCCCCCTCCTTCCAGTGCAATTTTCTTTCTCATTTTGTTTTTCTGGGTATCATCCCATCAAAATCATCTTATATCCATGCTCTCTGCCTGCATATACTCCTTCTAATTGCTCTTATAAAGTTGTTAAGAGTTACAAATATTATCTTGCCATCTAGAAATATAAACAGTTTAACCTTATTGGATTTCTTATGTTTTCCCTTTTTCTTTATTTTTTTATCTTTTTATGTTTCCCTTGAGTCTTGTATTTGGAGGTTATATTTTTTATTCAGCCCTGGTCTTTTAATTAGAAATGCTTGAAAGTCTTCTATTTTATTAAGTGTCCTTCTTTCCCTCTGAAAGATTATATTCACTTTTGTGGGTAGGTGATTCTTGGTTATAATTCTAACTCCTTTGCCTTCCAAGGTATCATATTCCAAGCCTTCTGGTTCTTTAATGTGGAAGCTGCCAGATCCTATGTAATCCTGACTGTAGCTCCACGGTATTTGAATTGTTTCTTTTTGGTTGCTTGCAATACTTTCTTCTTGATCTGTGAGCTCTGGAATTTGGCTATGATGTTCCTCAGAGTTTTCATTTTGGGATCTCTTTCAAGCAGTGATCGGCAGACTCTATCAATTTCTATTTTGCTCTCAGGTTCTAATATATCAGGCAGTTTTCTTTGATATCTTGAAAGTTTTTCAGGCCTTTTTTTTTTTTATCATTGATTTCAGGTAGTCCAATGATTATTATGTATCATGGTAACCTACAGTCATGACACACTCTTCCATTAAATTTGTATACCACAGCTGCCTAAGAGGCAGGCTAAATCAACTCCTCCCCTTCTCTTAGATTCTGATTATTTTTGTTTGCCACCAAGAAATTTGCTTCCATTGTGATTATTCCCTTCCTGGTATTATTATCGTCCTCCTTATCTAAGATTCAGGTTTGGTCTTTTCATCAGAAATGCTTGAAAATCTTCTATTTCATGAAAAGTGGTTTTTTTTTTTTGGTTTTTTTTTTTTACGTCTCTAGAATTCTGCTCAGCTCTATAGGGCAAAAAGTTCTTGGTTACAAGCCTGTATCTTTTGAGTTTTTTGGTTTTTTTTTGAATATTGTATTCGAAGGTGGTTTCTGGTTTTTAGGAGAAGCTATCAGGTCTTGTGTAATCCAATCTTGACTGTTAATTCCTCAGACCTTGGAACACCTTTCAGGATTTTTGTAGCATTCTTTATCCTGGGAGCTCTGGTTTTTGGATATGACAGTTATGATACTTTTCCTTTTGAATTATTCCTTTTAGGAATTGATTGGTGGGTTCTTTTTATTTTACCTTGTGGTTCTAATTTGTAATAAATCATTTATGATTTCTTGAAATATAGTGTTCAGGCTCTTTTTTAAATTACGGTTTTTAAAGAGTCCAGTAATTTTTTTTCAATTATTCTTTGACCTGTTTTCCAAGTCAATTGTTTTTATTTTCTTTAATTTTTTTCAGTCTTTTGATTTTGTTCTAATATTTCTTGATGTCTCATGGAGTCATTTATCTTTGGTTCATCCTGTTTTAAGGGAGATCTTTTCATGGGTAAGGTTTACCACTTTTCTAAGTTACTCAATTGCTTTCCAATTTTTTCCTCAGGAAAAATCTTGCTTCATTTCTTCTGTATACTTACGTGGTCTTTGTGGAAAATACATTTTTTTTTCCCATTGAGTCTCTGCTTATGGTTGTTATGCACTTATATTCGTAATAATTTTGGATAATGGTTGGTGTTGATTTACTTATCTCTCCAGTTTTAGGTCCTAAATTAGTGCTTCATGCTAGGGCCTGGTTCCACCTCCTGCTGAGCTTTTTGATTGTAATTGTCTCTCCTGCTTGGTCTGGTCTTATGTTCTTGCACTGATGTCCACCATCTGGGGTTCAGGCTCTCTTTATCTTTGAGGTTCAGATTCAAGTCCCTTTTTGCCTTTTCAGGATAGAATGTTAGGGACCTCAGAACCTTTGGACCTGAAGTATCCTAGTCTGAGCACTGTGGCACAGTGCTGCTTGGTACAATGCTGCTTGGCACCCTACCCACTCACCAGGTTTCCAGGATACCTATTCTGGGGCTTTTTGGCCACCTTGTGGCTTCCTTAGGGGACTGTTTATTGTCCATTTTTATTGCCTCTGAACATAGAAAGTTTCTCTTCTAAAGCTAGAAGGTCAACCATGCACTGGCTCTAATTTTGCTGGAGGGCCATCACTGACTTTTTGCATTTCTGGGGTGGAACAAGTCACTTAATGTAGTTTCTTGTTGGATTTCTTGGCCAATATTTGAAACAGTACATTCTTAGGGTTTTACTGGATTGGATATGAGAGCTGGGGGGGTCTGTCCTTTGTTCAGGTGGCTTTTTTGGCAGGATATCCTGTGTTTTGTTTTAGCAACAAATTTGTCGAAAGTAGTTCATACCTACTGCCTCTTTCTTACTACCTAATTACTATTTCTGCCCCCTTGCAATCTAGTTTCTGCTTGATGTTATAAATGAAGCTCTTTTCTCCAAGCTCACTATCAAACAACTAATCACCAAATTCAATGTTTTTGTTCTGAGTCCTTGGTCCCCTTTACCTCTCCGCAGCATTTAACTGTTAGCCATCCTTTCTTTGGCTTCTGTGGCACTCTGCTATTTTGGCTTATCCCTCCTATGTCATTATTCTGTCCATAATCTCTGTTGTTGAATTGTCTCCCTCTTCCTATTCCATAAATGTTGGTATTCTTCAGTGTTCTTTCTTTTTCCCCTTCTCCATCATCTTCTTCTCCTCTCCATCTCTTCCACTTCTCTTCCCCTCACGTTTCCCCTTTTTCATCTTTCCTTCCCTCCTTCCCTCGATCTCTTCCCCTCTCCATTTTCTCTTTTTTGGTAATATCTTCTATTATGGTTAAGCTACCACCTGAAGACAAAATTTCTGTACTACATTAAGATTTACAGCGTGCTTCTCTACAGTAGTGTTGGTTCACATTCCCAACTCTATTACTATGTATATTGCCTTGGGCAAATCACTTTCTCTTGGCCTCAGTTTCTGGACCTTTAAAAAGACAAGGTTGGACTAGAAGCCCTCAGAGATCCCTTCTAGCTCTTAAATCCATGATCCTATAAACTGCGAGGGAGGTAATGCTCAGTAGTACTGTCTCCCTTTTTACAGATGAGTGTGACCTAGGGAAGATAAGTGATTTACCCATGTTTACATAATAAGTATGCTAGCTTGATTCTAATCAGTATTTTCAAGGTCTGCTGACTTTGTTATATCATATTGCCTTTTTGCTATACAGTTGATTGACAAATGTTTTTCTTTAGACCTCCATATCTAACTGCTGGTCATTTCCAGCTGGATGTCTAGCTAGGTCCAATTCAGCATATCCAAATATCAAACTCATCTTCCTCCAAAACTTCTTTTTCCTCTTGATTGCTGTATTTCTGTTGGTGGAAAGCACTATTCTAATGGTCATTTGGGATAGAAACTTAGTTATTTTCTAGCTTCTTCCTCTCCTTTGCCCTTCCACATCCAATCTTGCCCCTTCCTTTCCATTCCCACTTCCATCATTCTAAATCAGGCTATATATAACAGCCATCTGTAAATACCTTATGCTCCAGACACATTCGTATATGTGCTTTGCCTCCTTCCTGCCTTTGCTTCACCCAGAAGCACATTCTCTTCTTTCTGTGAACTTCCACTGATCTTTGTTCAGGTCCTCTTACAACATTTAACAGATTCTGTCTCGATTATAGTTTTACTCACATGCCTTATTTCTTCTTCTAGATTGTAAGGTCATTGAGCAGAGAGATGTTTTACCAGGCTTTAATAAGCATCTGGAACAGGGCTTGCACTTAATAATTGATATTAGATATATGTTGAATGAGTAATGAAATAATACTTTATACTTTCATAGAGGTTTTTATAGTTCACTAAGTGCCTTCATATAGATGATTTCTTATCCTCTAAATAGTTATGTGAGATAAGCAAGGCAATTGATATCCCCATTTTGAAGGTGAAGATCTTAAAATCAAAGCGATTGTGATTTATCCAAGGTCAAGTAGCTAGAGAGTGGCAGAGCTGAGACTCAAACCCAGGTCATGTGACTTCAAGTCAAGTGTTCTTTCCCCTTTACCACTTTGCCTTTTGTGGTTTGTATTTTCATAGTAGTTTAATTTATACTATGATTCTGTATCTATTAATCTATAAATTAATCTATGAATCTAATTTAAAATTTATTCCTATATATGTTATTTTCAGTTATTCATTTTGGACCTGGAGAAAATAATTCTGAAGATGCAGTCATGATGAACACTCCAGTGATTAAAGCTGCTTTGGAAATGGGCTTCAGTAGAAGTCTAGTAAAACAGATTGTTCAGAGTAAAATCTTAACAACTGGAGAAAATTATAAAACAGTCAATGAGGTTGTATCAGATCTCCTCAATGCAGAAGATGAAAAAAGGAAGGAGGAAAAAGAGAGACAAACTGAAGAAATGGCATCAGGTATGTATTGGATTTTTAGTCACAGGCGGTCAATCTTTAGTTCATAACATTAATGTAGAATTTAATCTCCTAGTGTTTGGAAAAGCAGTTTTCTTGAGTTTTGTAGCATTTCTTTCCCTATAATACTGTAAATGACTTTTCTTGAAAAATAAGATTTTAAATAATAAAATGAGGTTATTACTCCCCCCATTTTACCTCCAAATGCTATCATAATATACCTTATTCAGCATAATTCTGTTTTGCTTCTCTGATAGTGTTATTCATTACATTCTGTCACAGTTGTGTTAGAGAAATTGTAATTGGCTTTGGCCCTTGAATTTATTTTACAAGAATTTGTGTAGAGCAGTGGTTTCGAACTCAATAGAAATAGATCCCAGAGGGCAACCTATTGATTTAGAAGACTACAAATTAACATTATGCTTTATTATATTTTTTATTTTGTTAAACCTTTCCCAATTACATTTTAACTTGGTTTCTGCTTCACTTGAGAGGTCACGCTTTTGACACCTCTGGTGTAGAGTACTGTACTGTATTGTCAGGAATTTACAACTAGAAGGGACCTTGGAGATGGATGAATGGTACCTATATACATTAAGCATTTACTTTGTGCTAGACATTGTGTTAAGTTCTAAAGATACCAAAAAAAAGCATGTAAGATTGTCTTTGCACTGATGGAGATTATATTCTAATGGGTGAACAAATCACATAATGGGGTACTGAAAAGTGAGAGAGAGGGGATATAGTATCGAGACTGCAGGAAGAGGCAGTGATACGGAGATCTGGTTCTTTGTAAGATAAAGAAGACTTATCAGCTGGTAATGATGATGATAATCACTAACACACGTCTATGTATGTAGATATGTGTACGTGTGTACGTGTTAGCTGTTATTATCATCATTATCAGTGTTATTCCCTCCAGCTCTGGTAAGCCTTCTCCTTTATCTCATGAAGAGCCTGACCTCCATGTTACTGGTGGGGGTGTGTGTGTGTATAAAATACACACACACACACACACACACACACACACACACTTATATGAAAAACATTTACTATGTGCCAGGCACTGTGTTGAACTCTTTACAATTATTATCTCATGTGGGCCTCACAATAACCCTGGGAGGTGGTGGTGGTTATTCACATTTTAATGATGGAGCTGAGACAAACAAGTTAAATGACTTGCCCAGGGTCACATAGCTAGTTAGAGTCTGAGGCCAGATTTTAAATTAGAGAAAAAAATATTACAAATATATAAATATTTTCTGATAGGGTAGAGATAGAGAATAGGACCTGAACTAGAGATATTGTAGTTCAGTTTTCCTTATTTTACAGATAAGGAAACCAAAGGTTAGAGAGGTTTAATTGACTTACTCAAGATCATAAGTAACAGAGCTCATATTTTAGTGGGTCTTCCGATATCCAGATCTAATGGCTGTTTTAGCTATCTCACACAGTTCCGAAAGAGATAAAGAGACCATTAAAGACAAAGTCCCTATCTTTGAAAGCCTACAACATAGTTGGGAAGAAAAAAAATATGGTACAAACAAGAATACCACAAAAAAGTGTTAAAACAAGCACAGAATAACACAAGAAATGTTATATAGAGAATTTATAGTAATTAGAATATGGGATAAGTTTAGTAAGGGGTTTCCTATTGGAGGGAGAGGGGCTTTTTAAGCAACACCTAGAAGGGCTAAGTGTGTGTGTGGGGGGTATACACACACACACACACACACACACACACACACAACCCCCACATATGTTGACTGCATTCTACTTTTCAAGTTATATTTATATCTGTCTCATTTGATCATCTCATGCTGGCATAGTAATTTAAAAGGAATAAGTATATTATTTCAGAGGGTTGCTAATGGCACTTAGTACTTTTCCCCTAGGAAATATTAACTGAAAAAATAATAACTTCTGCCTTAATTTGAGAGAACCAAAAAAAAAAAATTACACCTTAAAGTGACATGGATACATAGTACTTTCTTTAAAGAAAAATGGAAATTAAATTAACTTTCACAGAATTATTTCCTGGTCACACATGATCTTGGTTCAAATCTCAGCTTTTACTGCTTATTTCTCTATGTAATGCTTTGTTAGGCCTCATTAGAGGTATCATGTTCCAAGGCTAGAGAGGTGATAGTCACACTGCTTTGTCTTAGACTACATTTGTGATACTGTATTCAGTTCTGGTAGCTGATTTTCAGTAATGACATTGATAAGCTGGAGAGCATCCTGAGGACAACTAGGATGATGAGTTCATGCTTTATGACAATCAGCTGAAGGATTTAGCTTAGAGAAAAGACTTTGGAGGATATGATAGTGGTTTGCCAAGTATTTGAAAGGCTGTCCTGTGGCAAAGAGATTAGACTTGTTTTGTTTACCCCTAGAAGATACAACCAGGAATGATGAAGGAAAGTCGCAGAGTGATAAATTTAGACTTGATATTAGAAAAAAAAATTATTACAGTTTTAGACTGTGAACTCCTTGGGAGCAGGGACTGTTGAAAAGAAAAACATTCTTTGTATCCTCAACACTTTGCACAATGCCTGGAACATGGTAGGTGCTTAATAAACGTTTTATTGACTGACTAACAATTAAAAGCAGTTCTAAAGTGATATGGTTACCTTGGAAGGGGTAGTGTTTTCTTCTTCATAAAGCTCTTTAAGCAAAGGTGAAATGACCACTTGAGCTTCTTATAGAGGGAATTCTTGTTCAAATATGGGTTGGACAAGATAAATTCTGAAGTTCCTTTTAACTCTTGACAGTCTATGATTTCTTATAATTTTATTGAATTCTGAGCATCATTTTTTTCATATGATATTTCTGTACTATGAAGCTTCTTTTTCTTTGGACCTTGTATTCTTTTCATGATTTTTGTTTCTTAAACTTTTTGCAAATATTTGTCATTTTCATTACAAAAATGAGATTGATAAATTGTGCTGGTTGAGGAGAGTATGCTTCTTAAGAGAATGGATGCACTTTGGAAATTGAGTATGATAGAATATACTGGGAAGGTAAGAGTAGAAATTTCAATTAAATATAAATGATAGATTGTTGTAATTTCATACCTATACCACACAAAGCAGAGAAATTCCAGATGAATATTTTTGTAGTGTTTATGAGAAGTGTGAAAAAGGTTTCCTTTTCTTGGCAAGTTTGATTGAGAAGTAACATGAAAAAATTTTTTTAGCAGTTGAATGGAAATAGAAAATGGCATAATAACAGATGTAATATTGTTGTAACATCAGCAAAATGTAAAAGCAGAATACTAATATGTAAGATTTTTTAAAATTTAAGAAGTCCTATGTTCTGTTAACCTTCTTAATTTGTGAAAGAAGTATATGGTAGAGACCTTAAAATCGTAACATGTCTTCTTTTTTTTAAAGTGCCTATTATATTCATACTTAAATTATAGATGAGTGCTATTCTGTATTTGAAAGGGAGTTTCTCCACCAAGAATTTTTCACATTGATGGTTTAGACCGGGGAGGGAAACCTGTGGTCTTGAGGTGCAGGTTCCCTACCCCTGGTTTGGATTAAAAAAGGTATATAGAGGGAAATAAAGGCAGCAGAGTAAAGCAGAGCTTAAGGTTCAAGTCTGCCTCCTGATGCAAGTTTTGTGACGCTGGACAAGTCATTTAATTTTTTTGTGCCTCAGGTCACAAGTTGCAAGTGTCTTGGTGGAAGGAATCCCTACACTGGGAGTTCCACACTTTGGAATCATATCATTTATGTGGTTTTAAGTCTGATGTGATTTTTTTCTCTTTTCAATAAAGATGACCTGACATTAATTCGGAAGAATAGAATGGCTCTGTTTCAGCATTTGACCTGTGTACTTCCTATCCTGGATAGTCTCTTAACATCGGGTGTGATTAATGAGCAGGAACATGATGTTATTAAACAAAAAACACAGACATCTCTACAAGCAAGAGAACTGATTGATACCATTTTAGTCAAAGGAAATGCTGCAGCAAATATTTTTAAAAACTGTCTCAAAGAAATTGATTCTATGTTATATAATAATTTATTTGGTAAGTTTGTAGGAAAATTATTTTAGGAACACAGTGGATCAGTTGAGAGGTGTTTTCATTGATGTATATCAATGAAAATCAATCAATTAATACAAATAATGTAAGAAAGATTTCATTCTTTTGCCAAACAATGGACACCTTGTTGTCACGGCAGTACCCTTCCTCCCTCTCTATTCTTCACCTGTTAGTGCTTTCTTGCTGTGCCCTTGAAACCCCTATTCTATTCTAAGTTGCTCTTCGTCGTTCCTTTACTGTGCTGGTTGCTTCTTTTTCTACTGCTCCATCTCAAAGTGCCTAAAGGTAGAATTAGTATATTCTTTGTTCTGCACTGCCACTTCTAGATTGTTGTTCTGCCACCATCACACAATCCTTTGAAAGTTTGCTGGTCTGATGAGCCTGTGTGCTTCTGAATCTTGATTTCCAGAATAATTTTCTACTGTTCTCCATGCCTTTGTTACCTGACTAGCAGTCTTAATTTCGCTTGCCATCTACCTCTTCCTCAGCCACTATCCTTATAGGCCTCAGTGTCCCAGCTAATGATGGACCTACTACCTGTACAGGTCCTTCAGTTTCTCAGATTCTAACCAAATCCTTTTGCCTAATGTACCGACTTGGGTGGTTATAGCTTAGACCTCACCATAACCTTAAAACTGCCCCATGTCTAAGATCTTAAACTTGGAATTTTTACTCTCAGACAACAATCTCTTATTTTCTATGTCTCTTCTTTTACTTATTCTATATTTATTATTTTCTTTCATCATGACCTTTGTCTTGATTTTCTTGCTTTTTTTGCAATCCATCAATTTGCTTGTGGCCTTAGTTTTTCTCTATCGTTAAGAAGTCATTTCAGTAAAGTCTTCCTTTTCTACCCTTGACCCTCCTGTCTACTTATTCATCTTCATCCCTTCCCAGCATTCATTTCCTCTGTTCTTATTCCCAAATAGATGAACCCTATTTGAAGAAATCATGAAATTCTGTTGATTGGGTCCACTACAAATTATATTCCAGTTCTACCTTAGTTTTAAGAAATGTCCTCACCCTCTTTATTGAAAAGATTGAAGCTATCCAACTTGTACTCCTTCAGCAGCCCTCTTTTCATCCCCTTTTAAATCTCTTTACCCATCATTTCTTTCTCCTTTCTAGTATTAGAAGAAAAGGCAACTTTGTTCCTTGCCTTTTTTAAAAAACAAGTTTTATTGACATATTTTTGATTTTCTTTTGTATCACCAAAATTTTCCCTTTTTTCACCTTTTTTCTCCCAAAGAGTCATCCTGTATAACTAACTAATATTCCTTAAAGATGAAGAATAAAAAGAAATTGGTACCTTATTAAAGCTAGCTCTTCTTGATATATTCTCTAGGACCTTCATCTGTTAACCTTACTTGTTTTATGCATTTCATTCTCCCCCCCTCTACCGGTTCTTTCTCCTTAGACAAAAGACATCACATTTCCCATATCCTAACATAGAATCTCTTCCTCTTTCCTTTGAACTTAAATTTAAAAATTATATATTGATAACTGCTTATTTCTTCAAGCTTTTCTTCTGCCTTTCATTGCTGAGTTTTAATCTACACTTAATATATTTCCTCACTACCTACTCACTCATCAGACTCCTAAAGTTTAGCTCTGCCTGTCAACTGAAATGACTTTTTCTGAAGTTATTAATGACCACCGTATCAAATTAATGCATGTGTGGTTTTTTATTTTAGTTTTCGCCTACCTTGATCTCTGTAGCCTGTTGATTTCTTCACCCCTTTTTTGATAGCTTTTCTTCTGTTGGCTTGTGATTTTGTTCTCATAATTTTTTGACTGACCTATCTCCTCATTCTCTCTCTAAAATGTGACTCTCTCCAGTTTTGACTTTGGCTCTGTTCTTTTTCTACACTCCCACTATTGCTCATCTTATTCATTTCTCTGGCTGTGCAGAAGACATTTCCAGCTTCCTACAAGATAGTTCTAACTGGATGACCTTAACATACCCAAAATCATAGTGGTTCATCTTCATCCTTGCCCCTTCTAATTTTTCTATTTGATGCTCTCACCTAGACTATTCTAATAGTTTTAATTTCCCTGCTACTAGAGTTTCCCACATCTCTAGTTTGTCCCTCATAGAACTGTGAAAATCATCTGTTTGATGCACTGATCTCATGACTCCCCTATTCAACAACTTTTAGTGCCTCCTTATTGCTTATAGGATAAAATTCCAACTCCTCAACCTAACATTTAAGGTCTTCATCAGCCAGACTCTAGTCTTACCTTCCCATCTTAATTTTACATTACTACCATTCAGACATTCTGTTCCAGTTAAATTGAATTACTGGCTATTCCCTGAACTTGCCTTATAATCCCTCCTGGGTCTCTGTAATCATGGGAGTGTGCCCCATGCCTAGAGAATAATGCCTCCTTCCTAATCTTTAACTTCAAGGGCCTGGCTCAAGTGATGCCACCTCTGTAAGGCCTGGTTCAGTCTACCCCTAATTAAAATTTCTTGTTTTCTCTAAGTCTTTCCTTTGCCCTCTAACACTCTTTACATTTTAGTATATTTGTCTATCTCTCATGTCAACTCTTAGTAAAGGTTGAAGGTAAAGATTGCCTTTTTTTTTTCTGATCTTTGTATTCATAGTACATTGCAGGTAATAGTAGGCTCTTAGTATTTGTTGAATTGTTTTGGATTTCTGTTGTTGACGCTGTAGGATGATACCTTTTGATTTGAAAGGAACTTTAGAGGCCATCAAGTCCAAATGTCTCATTTACAGATTAGAAAAGTAAAGCTCAGACTGATCATTATCACAGTCACCTCAGTTTAATCTCGAAGTCTAAATCACAGAATCTTGAGTTGGAAGTAGTCTTGGAGTTTATCCAGTCCAACAAGAATCCTACTACTACATACTTAGTAAGGGATTATTGTTAGTAAACCTCCTTTTAGGGGGAACTCATTATGTCCCAAGGAGACCTGTTCCACTTCTGAAGAACTCTTAATTATTAGGAAAGTTTTCCTTGTATCAAGACTAAATTTTCCCTTTTCTTTCTTAATTTTACTCTTTGGGGCCAAGTAGAACAAGTCTAATACATCTTCCATGACAGTCCTTAATTTCTGAAGATAGCTACCATGTTCCTGTTCCCCATCCCCCATTCCTTCCTCTCCCACCCTCTGTCCCTTACCTCTGGCCTTTTTTCCAGACTAAACATCCCTGGTTCCTTCATCTGAAAACTGTTCATCATTCTGATTGTCCTTTTTTCACATGTTCTTTGACTTTTCATTGTATTTACTAAACTGTGTTGTCCAGTACTGGATATGATTGTCCAAATGTTGTTTAATCAGGTCAGAATTCAGAGCTATCTCTTCCCTCATTCTAGACATTAAAGTTAAGATTTTATTAGTTTTCAAGGCTACATAGTACGCTGTCGATTTATGTTGAGCTTGTAATACACTAAAACAGTCATCTTTCTCAGCTAAATCTCCCTCTTGTGAGGTTAATTTTAAAAAATCCAAAAATAAGACTTAGCCTTTATCTTCATTATGTGCTACTTTATTAGATTCAAGTCAGTATTTTAGTGTTCCAAGAGCTGTTTGAATCCTGTTCTGAATCCCTTCTATCTCTGGGTCATACAAGTCATTGATAAATATGTTAATTATTAGCACATGACTAAGCACAGGGTTACTTTTGGATCATTCCACTGAAGATACTTTCCATGTTGGCCTTGAACTACTAATGATTATGAGTTCGGTCATTTAGCCACGTCCATATCCATCTAATTTTACTGTCATCAAGCCCATAGCTCTCAATTTTTCCCATAAGAATAGTTTGAGACTTTGCCGAGATCTAGATAAACTATATTTCTTTTACATATGTATACGCACATATATGTACACACATATATGTGTATATATGTACATATATACACAACCATGTATATGCATCTAGATATAGATATATAAAAAGTGTGTTCATACATATATACACACGTACATCTTTACCCTAGTTCACCACTTACTAGTGTTAGCTTTTGAGATCACTATCTATCTAGATATTCACTAACTGTTCCTTTCAAAATATATTCTGGAATTTTTTTTGGAATTTCAATGAGGCCCACCAGCCTTGAGTCTGTAGCCTACATTTGCCTCTTCCCTTGCCCGCACCACAGCTGCCAAATTTTGTTGTACCTTGGCACTGTTTCCAGTTATCTTTGTTCCTCTAGAATGGACTGTTTCAATAGCTACCTAACTGGTCTTCCTATGTCCAGTTTGTTACTTCTTTAACCCAATCTACTTGTCATGTAATCTTCTTAATACTACACTCTTTCACTTCCCTATTCCAAAAAATTTTCATTCACTATCTCTTAGAAGTGTAAACTTAGTTCAAATCCAGCCTCAGACACTTAACACTTACTAGCTGTGTGACCCTGGGCAAGTCACTTAACCCGATTGTCTCACAAAAAAAAAAAGTGTAAACTTAGCCTGATTTAATGGTGGTTCTTCACAATCTGGTGCCCTATGTTTTCTTTCTGTACTTTTCATTCTAGTTGATTTTGACTGTTCTATCCCATGTTGTCATCCTGCTCATGCTTTCATCCATTTCTAGATAACGGGGAAGAAGAGTAAAATAATACTGTTTTCCATCTTTTAAAACCCTTACTATCCCTCATCTAACAGCTGAAAGTCATCTCACCATCCTCAAATTTATCATTGCATTTTGTGCAAATCTCTTCTATGCATACATAACATTTCCCTTTGCATCATATTAATTTCCCAATTAGATCTCAAATTCCTTGATCAGGGTTTGTGCCATATCTATGCTTGTATCCTCCATACTTAAGATAGTTCATTACTCATAGAACATGCTTAAATGATTAAAAAAATTGAGTTATAACTGATTATAATGAATATAACATTCCCTCAGAGTCTAGTTTATTCCAATTGTTATATATTACGCTGACAAAATATTCTCATTTTGAGGAAAAGACATTTCGTATGGTGATGCCTGTATATTTTTTTCTAGTGGAAAAGAACATGAAGTATATTCCAACAGAAGATGTTTCAGGTAAAGCTGTTAAAATCAATCAAGCCTCTGTTAACAATACTTAAAAGGGACTCTAGGTGCTGTTAATTTTCTTTTCTCTACTTTTATTCTTCATGACTCACTTATACCAGAAATTAGAATTATGGAACGAGGAAAAGAACTGTAATTAGTTTAAAATTATTTCTTTTCTTTCTAGGTCTTCCTATGGAAGAACAGCTTAGGAGATTACAGGAAGAAAGAACATGTAAAGTTTGTATGGACAAAGAAGTTTCTATTGTATTTATTCCTTGTGGTCATCTGGTAGTATGCAAAGAATGTGCTCCTTCTCTAAGAAAATGCCCCATTTGCAGAGGTATAATCAAAGGTACAGTTCGTACATTTCTTTCATGAAAAGAATCCATACATCCAAATTTGTATGGAACAGACTTCAGAATGGTCAGTCATGAGCCACTGAAGCCTTTTGGAAGAAAGGAAAGTGTTATTAGGCTTTTTAGTAACAAATTAATGTACAATTCTGTGTTGGTATTAGTTACTTGATTTTCTTAAATTACGTGGTGTTCATATACTATAGTCATAATTCCTTGAAAGTTTGTGTGTATATTGTTTGTGTGCATGTTTTTGTGTTGGAAGAACAGGATATGATTCTATATGCTTGAAAGTATAAGGATAGTGTACAGACATACTGCTATTATGTAGCATTTTTGGATTATTGAACATGATTATTTTACTAGAAGCTTTGAATACTATGTAAGTGTAGTCACAGATGTGGGAACCAGGAGCCCCAAATTTATCATAACTATGGTGCCACTTTTTTTGGGTGCTTTTTACAATTTGTTGTAAAGTAGAGACTATGTCTGATTAGCTGAGGTGAAAAATTTCCCTAACAGGAGGAATGGATTAATAGCATAATATTTAAAAGAGAGAGACTTAATTTAAATGTTGTGACTCGGTTGAGTTTATATACATATATATATATATATATATATATATATATATATACACACATATATATATATATTTGGTGTGATGTTTTCTTGTCTTTAAAGAGATTTCAGATTACATCTCATTTTCTCAAAACTCTTCTAAAAAGTGAGTATCTGAATTTAGGACAGATAAGATTAGAAAGTAGCATTTTACATTATAATAATGTGATTTACAAAAGAGTTTCTTTAGTGATCTGTAGTGTATGTAAAGTGATTCTATTTCAGGAGTGTAGCTGTTGTATGTGTTCATTGTAAAAAACTAAATAATGCTGATGTGGTGGAATGATAATACCACATTCTTTATAAGCTAAATTATATTTGTTTTGTGAAACTTAGGTAATAATGTCCCTTTTTATAATGTGTGTCTATTGTAATTATTTGTTTTTATGTATTCTTTGTAGTGTTAATAGTTTTAATAAAATGTTTGCATATGATGCCACCTAGTGTGAAGATATCTACAACTTTCTGGTTGTCATCTTTGTGTTTCCCACAGTGCCTTGCACATCATAGTCATTCAATAAGTTTTTGTTAATTAAAGAACAAACAAATGCAATGAAACAGTGAGTCCTGTGCTTTGATAGTCTTCTTATGGAGTTGTCATTGTAGAAGCCTCCTTGTGTGCCTTGTTCTCTGGTAATTCTTTTCATATTGTAAAAAAATTACAATTAAAAATATAATTAACCTTGAAACCGTATTGTTTTTTTTTTTCTGGCATATGTGTTTAGGGCAAGAACTAGGATCCTGGAATATTTTTAAAAAAATATTATAAACTTAATATTCATCAAAAAATCTAGACATTTTAATTTACAAAGAAAAAGGATAATATAAAAGAAATTTGTTACAATTTTAGAACTGTATATATGTCTGTGTATTTGTGTATGTACATTCACAGTATGTATATTATGTTTTGGGTGGAAAGAAACAAGGACGGCGACTTTTAATTTTGTCTTTGTATCTCCAGCACTTAGCACAATATGTTACACATCATAGGTGCTCAATAAGTGCTTGTTGAACAAATGGAAGAATATATATTTATTTTTTACATGCCATAGATTATATCGTAGGCCACCTGCCTCATAGAATTCAGTTCCTTAGTGCTAAGAAACAACTTGTTAATTGTGGAAAAGAGCATATGTGGTAGAGCAAAACAGTTGTTTTGTGTGGTTCCACTTTAGGTTAACTTTGTTAATTTCCATTTATTCCCCAGAGCGAAGGACTGTTACTATCTTTGAATCACAGAATAACAGAATTGAGAGTTGGAAAGGACCTTACTCAGTTGTCCTCTAGTTCAAATAATACACAAAAGGAATTCTCATTATAACAAATCTGACAAGTGATTGTCCACTCTTTAATTGAAGACCTCCAAAGAGAGGAAAACCTTGTCCCTCCTGAATTTTGTAGGTTTCAGGCATTATCTCCTATAAATTTGTGTCCTGGAAGGAATCTTAGAGGTCTAATCTGATTCTCTCACTTTTTTATTGTTCAGTTGTTTCAGTCATATCTGACTTTTCATGACCCAGTTTGGGGTTTTCTTGGCAAAGATACTGGAGTGATTTCCCATTTGTGACTTCCCCAGGTCCCACAGCTAGTAAGTGTCTGAGCTCAGATTTGAACTGGGGAAGATGAAGTCTTCCTGCCTTCAGGCATGGCACTCTATCCACTGTACCACACTCAAGTGACTTGCTCAAGGTCATACAGGTAGTATCACTGTTGTGATTTGAATCCAGAGTCAGTGTGTTTTCTACTATACCCTACAAATAGAAGTTATTAATACTGTCTTGAAAATCAGTCAGGGCAGAATTGCCTAAGGACATTATTATCTATTATCTAAGTGATTATCTATAAAGACTGATTTGTGTGTAGTTTTAGGGACCTTATGATACTTGGCCAGACTCTCTTTTCAGTTTATCCTCATTTCTAGGTAAATCTTAATTAGTAGTTAATCTTCAGTGATTTTAAAATGAAGATTTTATAAAACCCCCAAATTTTGAGAGTTGGGAATTATTTCTCAGTGGCCATAGTCTATACACGAAAGGAATTCCCACAATAACAACATGCTTTAAGGAAGATCACTTTGACAGCTGAATGGAGGATGAACTGGAGTGGGGAGAGACTTATGGCAGGGAGACCAACCAGAAGGTACTACAGCAGTTTAGTGTGAGGTGATGAGGTCATATGAGATGTTAAGAATGTAGAAACAGTAGAACTTGGTAACAGATTAGGTAAGTGAAGTAAATGAGGAGGATAGTGGTACCCTCAACAGGAATAGGGAAGTTCTGAAGAGGGGTGGGTTTGAGGGAAAAATACTGAATTCACTTTGGGGCATGATGAGTTTGAAATGTCTCTGGAATATCCGGTTCAAGATATCCAATAGGCAGTTGGTGATGAGAGGCTGAAGGTTAGGAGAGAGGTTAGGGCTAGATGAATAAATCTGAGAATCATCTATATGTAAATATTAATGGAATCCGCAGGAACTGATGAGATCTCAAAGTACAAGATACTGTAGAGGGAGAAAAGAGCCAAGGATAAAACTTTTGGGGGACACCCAATGTTGGTGAGACGGTGGTGGAAGATCTAACAAAGAAAACTAAGAGTAGCCAGACAAACAAAACAAGAACCAGGAAAACAGTATCACAAAAACCTAGAGAGGAGAGACTATCCAGGAGATCAGGGTGATTGACAGTGTTAAAAGGCTGCAGGTCAAAAAAGCAGAGGATCAAGAAGAAAACATTAGAATTGGCAAATACATCACTGGTAATTTGAGAGGGAGGCAGCTTTGAAATTTTCATTTGAAAGATAAGTTTGGAAGGCTTCCCAGTCACTGTTTTCAGCAAGCTTAACTTTCTAATGGAAGAGACAGCACATAGAGGGTAATGGTGGCCAGGGAGGGTTACTTTGGTCTGGAAAGTTAGTTATGGTGATTGAGGCTGTAGGGTAGTAGCCTGGCACACTTCTTCCATGAATAATTATAAAGTAGATTTGATCATAGCTGTAGAATTAGAGATCAGGAAGCTTTGGCAGAGAAGAATGATGAGTGAAAGTAAATTCAACAAGGAGACAGTGTTAATAATTTTAGGTGATTGGAAAAGGATAGTAGTATTTTTAGTATCATGACTAGTTAGTTCATTTGATTAGGTGAGGATTCTAAACCTGGAGTCTGTGAACTTTTAAAAAATATTTTAGGGGCATCTAGGTGGCACAGTGGATAGAGCACCATCCCTGGAGTCAGGAGGACTTAAGTTCAAACATGGCCTCAGAGGTTACACTTACTAGCTGTGTGATCCTGGGCAAGTCCCTTAACCCCATTGCCTAGCAAAATAATAAAATATATATATATATACATAATACACACACACACACACACATATATATATATACATATATATTTACTATTTCAGTATAATTGTCTTCCTTTGTATTCCTTTGAACACTCTGAGCAGGAATCTGTAGGCTTCTTTAGGCTCCCAAAGGGGTCTATGATACAAAAAAAAGTTATGAACTGCTGGATTTAAGCATAAAGTTTGAACCTGTTGTTCAGTGCCTGACACACAGGCACTTAATGTTTATTGATTATTTGATTGATAGACTGGACCCCATTTTATAGGATATAACTTGCAATACAAGAAGAACCAGGTGAGTAATTGAGGTTAGATCAGCAAATACCCATTACTTCTTGGAAAAAATAGCTCAAGACACTATTTACAGGTGTCTTGAACATAAACACAGGGACAGTACATAGTATTTGCTTACGTGACTAGTATTGTAGGGCTAACAATCTTACTGTAAATAAAAGATTACATTAAAAAATTAGAAAACTGCAGTAGCATATAATTCCATACATTTAAGTTTTAAGAACAGCATTCCAGTAGCTGTTCTGTTTCCTCTGATTAGATACTATGGCCATTCAGGTACTTAGAACTTTATAATTTGAGCAACCAGGCTTACAATAGAGGTCAACTAAAGTACTTGAGGTAAAGCAGCTTATTTGAGTGGAAAAATGTATTCTCTTAAAGTTCTGTGAATATAGCTAAAATATGATAAATTTTAAAGGGCGATGCTTAATTTAAATGCATACAAACACTTGGGTACAACTTGGCACTTTTAAGTATTTTGGAGTGACAGTGTAATCTAATCAATAGTGACCTGGGCCTCACCAGTCAGCCTGGACTGAAGTTGTCCAACAACATGGCTATATAAACCCTGCGAAAGTCACTTAACTTCCTACTGTCCTACGAAACTCTGTAAGAGTAAGTTGCAGAGCAAATACCAATATGTATTGGAAAAGAGGTTTCTTGTGCCAATTAAATCACAGATTAGTACATAAAAAAAACCAAGTCAATCGTTGCTAAGTTTTATCCAGGTTACACCAGACCTGAGTAGATCTGACCCCAGTTGTTTAGCTTAAAAGATAGAAATTGTTATGGTCCTAAGATTTATTTTTACAATTTGATAAAATGTCAAAAATTCCTAATTTCTACTGTAATTAATTGCTTTTAGATACAGAATCCTAGGGTTAGTAGAAAAAAAAGGTCATTCACTTTTTTTTCTTGTCCTGCCTCCCTTCCATGGTTAAGAACAGAAAATCAATGGGTCCCACTGTTCATTTAGCGTCTCTCTTGAATTGTTCTTCCTTTGTTGGAGGAAGGCTTTTCCCTATTTCTTAATGACCTCTCCAAACTTTAAAGCAAAAAAACCCATGCAGTTTGCTTCAAATGCTTAAGTTTATTCATTAGGATCATTAAATTTAGAGTTGAAGGAACAGTATGGGGTAGTTGAAAGAATGTGATATATAGAATCAGAAGGTCAGGGTTCAAATATTGGTTCTGCTACTTGAAATAGTGTGGTATAATGGTAAATGATGGAGTCAAAAGACATCTGTGTTGAAATTTTGTTCTGAATCCAGTGACTTTTCACCGTGGGCCTACACTACCTCCTTTATTCAAATGAATAAATTCATTAAGCATCTGTAATGGATAAGGCTTAGAGGTAGTATGGTGCCCTGTTGCTGACCCTTACCAGATTCCAAACCCCAGACAAGTAATTTAACTTCTGTGTACTTCAGGTAACTCTAAGTCAAAGACAGTTGCTAAGTTGGTAAGAGGAGTTCTCACTTGAGGTGTTTCTTACACTGTTAACCTAACAGCTCTTTCAGGTATTTGAGTATGTGGAAGGCAAGATGAAAGAGATCACAAAAATCTCAGTTGGCTTTATGTAACCCTCACCTGGACAAAAATCGCGCTACAGCATAATTGTAGTCATCCAGCCTTTGCTTGAAGACTATTAGTGGAGAGGTAACTCCTATCAATCAGCATTTAATAACTGCCTAGCATGTGCTGCTAGGTACTATCTCTTAAGACACCCTATTCCATTTTTGGACAGCTCTAATTGTTAGGGAAAGGCAGCTGGGTAGCTCAGTGGATAAAGCACTGGGCCTCGTGTCAGGAAGAGCATAGACTTTGGGAGATGGGCCTGGCATGCGTTGGTCCATGGAGGTCACAAAGAAGTAGGACATGACTGAAAAAATTAGGGAATTTTTCCTTATATCACTCTTACATTTT